GCTGGAGTCCAGTGGCACAATCACTGCTCACTACAGCCTCAGCCTCCAGGGCTCAAGGGATCCTCACAAGTGTGCACCACCACATCTGGCTAATTTTTGTATTTTTTGTACAAAAAGTGGGGTATCACCATGTTGCCCAGGCTGGTCTCAAACTCTGGAGCTTAAGTGATCCTCCCAGTTAAGCCTCCCAAAGTGCTAGGATTACAGGCATGATGGCCATATCTGGCCAGCTTTTACCTATGTTTAACTACAAGTATTCGTTTTTTTACCCAAGTGATTTAATTGTGAAAAATCACTCAAAGTGTTCTAGCAACATAGTGCTAAAACCACTAGCTATATGTCAAGGTTCATCATTTATTTGCCCATAATTATTATTTGGATGGAAGGTTTTTAGCATGTATGTGTGAGCAACATGCAGCAAAATCCCAGCTTCTGCCCAGCTTCGGATTCTGCCATTTGTGGTGATTCAGCTTCTGTCGAATTATAAATGATGATTGTTGTGGTGGCAAATTACTCTTTTGTTTTAAATATTCTCTAAACTGGGAAACTACCTGCTACCTGTTCCTGACAATAGTATTCATACAGGAGAATTGTGATTTTACTGTAATGCTACTTTTTTTTTTTTTTTTTTGAGACGGAGTTTTGCTCTTGTTACCCAGGCTGGAGTGCAATGGCGCGATCTCGGCTCACCGCAACCTCCGCCTCCTGGGTTCAGGCAATTCTCCTGCCTCAGCCTCCTGAGTAGCTGGGATTACAGGCACGCACCACCATGCCTGGCTAATTTTTTGTATTTTTAGTAGAGACGGGGTTTCACCATGTTGACCAGGATGGTCTCGATCTCTTGACCTCGTGATCCACCCGCCTCGGCCTCCCAAAGTGCTGGGATTACAGGCTTGAGCCACCGCGCCCGGCCTGTAATGCTACTTTTAAGAGACTTCTGTTAACATTTAACAGAAAAGGAATGTTGCCATTTGAATGTTTATCCTGTCCTTTGGCACTTTGGAAATCAAGTATGTCATGTAGGAGAGTGTTCCCTGGCTTTTAGTAAATATTTGCCATAAACAGTTGGTTATTTATGAGATATACCCTCTCATAATCCTGGCTGTTGTACAGCTGTTGCCCTGTCTCAGCATCAGAGACTGAACATGGACATTCACTGAAGAGAAGAAGAATGTAGCTTAGGTATAAAGCCAAAAATAGTGCTTTGGTGTCATTTTTTTGTTTTTGCTTTATGAATGGAAAAGCAAAGACAGTACTGTTGGGTCTGCTTCCTGTTACCTCATCAGTTTTGAGAGTTACAGGTGGAAATAAGACATGTAAGTCCAGGCTTAGGATTAAGAAATAAGACAGTAGAGGAAACCTATTCCTAGTCATGTGGATCTTTCCTGGTCTGCAGGTAGAGGAACACATTGTTTACCAGCAAGCCAATGACTGAGCAAAAATAACTGAGCAAAATCCATCCGTGTGGTGGATTCAGAGTGGAGGAGGATTGAGCCTCTGTTGTTGACACCACCGCTGTGGGGGGTGCACACAGAATATGGGAAGGTCACGGTAGGAACCTGGCTCACTTCCCCAGGGGAGCACTGAGATGGGTGCACCGTGTTTCCCGGGGAGCACTGGCATGGGCGCAGCCTCTTTCCCGGGGAGCCGCTGAGAAGGGCGCAGCCTCTTTCCCCGGGGGCCGCTGAGATGGGCGCAGCCTCTTTCCCGGGGGGCCGCTGAGAAGGGCGCAGCCTCTTTCCCGGGGGGCCGCTGAGAAGGGCGCAGCCTCTTTCCCGGGGAGCACTGGTATGGGTGCAGCCTCTTTCCCGGGGGGCCGCTGAGAAGGGCGCAGCCTCTTTCCCGGGGAGCACTGGCATGGGTGTAGCCTCTTTCCCGGGGGGCCGCTGAGATGGGCGCAGCCTCTTTCCCGGGGGGCCGCTGAGAAGGGCGCAGCCTCTTTCCCGGGGGGCCGCTGAGATGGGCGCAGCCTCTTTCCCGGGGGGCCGCTGAGATGGGCGCAGCCTCTTTCCCGGGGGGCCGCTGAGATGGGCGCAGCCTCTTTCCCGGGGGGCCGCTGAGATGGGCGCAGCCTCTTTCCCGGGGGGCCGCTGAGATGGGCGCAGCCTCTTTCCCGGGGGGCCGTTGAAATGGGTGCAGCCTGTTTCCCGCGGGGGCGCTGGGGGGCGCTGGGATGGGCGCAACCTCTTTCCTCGGGGGCATTGGGATGGGTGCAGCCGCTTTCCCGGGGGGCACTGGGATGGGTGCAGTCTCTTTCCCGGGGGCCGCTGGGATGGGTGCAGCCGCTTTCCCGGGGGGCACTGGGATGGGTGCAGCCTCTTTCCTGGGGGGCACTGGGATGGGTGCAGCCGCTTTTCTCGGGAGCACTGAGATGGATGCAGCCTCTTTCCTGGGGAGCACTGGGATGGGCGAAGCTTTTTTTCTGGGGAGACTGGGATGGGCAAAGCTTCTTTTCTGGGGAGCATTGGGATGGGTGCATCCTCTTTTCTGGAGCCTCAGGTGTAGTCCCCACAATAGCATCTGCCCCACGGGATTTGCCTCTAGCTGGCCTGTGGTGTTCTGGTGCGAAGTGGTGGGAAGTGGTGGGTGTCCACCAGAAACAAGACAGGCTGTGGTTGGGCCATTGTTGAGTCTGTGTGATGGCCACAGGGGGCTCACCATAGCATTCCTTCTACTTTTGTATATGTTTATGGTTTTCCAAACAAACAAAAATGATGCGGCTTTGAACCTAGAACCCAGAGTTACTGGCAGAGCAGGGAGGTATAAGCTGCCCTGAGAGCCGTGTGCCCCTCTGGTGGGGTTGAAGCACTTCCATCACCCCTGGCTTGGGGCTTAGGGCCACAGGCACAGTCTCTAGCTCAGTCTCAGCCCTGCCCCACCCGGCCGCCTCCATGTGTATTTGGGTGAATGCACAGTCAGTCAGTGACTTAATGCCATGATGCTTCACTCCATCCTTCCTGGCTCTGGCCTCTGAGACCCCACAGCTGAGGAGATAAGGCAGATGGCCACAAGGAAGCAGTGAGACCCCGTGTCCAGCTAGTGGGATTAAGTGAGCACTTGGAGATGGAGGCAGCAGGCTGTGGGCCCCAAGAGGCGGGGCTGGGCATGCAAATGGGAGTAGAGCCTCTTTCTAAGAGAGTGGGTGCCGGCAAGGGGAGTCTGCAGGCCTGGCTGCAGGCTGCTGGGGCTTGGCAGCACAGTTCCTCCCCATCCATCTTCTCCGAGGTAGAGTGTGTGTGTTAGAGCTCGAGTGTGGAGTGGAGTCATGGCCACAGGCTGCTCCTGCTCTGCGGTCTGCTGCCGAGTGATCCCTGCATGTGTTTCAGCCTCCTCACTGGCAACACAGGGACCATCTAATTAATGAGAACTCGCTTGTGTTTCAGATTGCCTCCCACTCGTGAACTGGAGGTAAAGGACTGCTCTTACTATCTTTAAGAGGGTCAACATACTACAGTTGTTAAGACAGGGAGTTTTGTAAAGTCAGACAGACCTGGCTTTAGCTACTGGTTTGGCACCTCTCAGCTCTGAGACCATAAACCCTGAGCATGTGTCTACTCTGAAATGGATATGCCAGTACCTGCCTCATGGTGGGGTGAGGAGGGTGGGACCAGGAGGACTGACAGATAAGGCACCTGGCTTGCCTTCTGTAGTCCCCAGGCACCCTAACCTTTAGCCTTCTCTTTTGTTTTTAGAGTGGTGTGAAATCTTGGAGAAGTGTTAAACTATGTGGGTCTGTCTCATGTTAGTTTCTGCTGCTTGTCAGTTGATTGCCATTTTGTCTTTGCTTAGAATTAAGAGTGTATGGGCTGTGTGGGGTGGCTCACGCCTGTAATCCCAGCAATTTGGGAGGCTGAGGCAGGCAGATTGCCTGAGCTCAGGAGTTCAAAACCAGCCTGGGCAACATGGTGAAACCCCATCTCTACTAAAAAATACGAGCAATTAGCTGGGTGTGGTGGCAGGTGCCTGTAATCCTAGCTATTCAGGAGGCTGAGGCATGAGAATTACTTGAACTCAGGAGGTGGAGGTTGCAGTGAGCCGAGATCCTGCCACTGCACACTCCATACTCCAGCCTGGGTGACAGAGTGAGACTTTGTCACCCCCCAAAAAATAGTATGGACTAGAAATAATTTTATTTATAAAAGCCTTTATTGATTTATGTATTAATGTTAGCGATGAAAGTGGCATCTCCTTATAGAACACTGACTGGTCAATGTCTTGTCCTTAGGGTCTTCTGGTGGAGATGGGACAATCCTATCTCTATTTAATGGACAGGAGGCAGAGACTGAGACAAGCTAATGGGCTGCTGGGAGGAGGCTGGAGTCCAGGTCTTCAGCTCCTGATCAGTGGTTTTGCTTCTGGATGATGCTGGGGGTTACTTTTTTGTTTTTGTTTTTATTTGTTTGTTTTTGTGACTGCAGCCTCAACCTTCCAGGCTCAGGCAGTCCTCTCACCTCAGCCTCCCAAGTAACTGGGACCACAGGCATGTGCCACCATGCCTGGTTAATTTTTTGTAGAGACAGGGTTTCACCATGTTGCCCAGGGTGGTCTTGAACTTCTGGACTTAAGCTATCTGCCTGCCTCAGCCTCCTAACGTGCTGGGATTACAGGTGTGAGCCACAGTGCCCAGCCAGTGTTTTGACTGTTTATGGAAGAAAATATACAACACAAGCAGTTTTACTTCTCGAGGGCAAAACTAGCTTGTGTTATATTGACTGACACAGTGAAAACGAAATGATTCTGAAGTAGCTTAGTTCTGAGAAATCCGACCCTTGTTTCTCCCCAGGCCCTCCAGCCCTCCTGGCTGCCTCAGCCAGCACCCGTTGTGTTGAAAACGTTGCGGGAGTTCATTTGGGGTAGAGAGTGGCGGCTGCTGGTTTGTTACAGTTCGGTGCTCTAGTGAGTTGAGACCTTGTGGGTGTTGAACTGTTTTTGTTTTTCAGTTTGCTATTTGTGCCCACATACACACTTTAAAAATAGGAATTTTCCACTTTTCTTTGTAGTGTAGGAAGAATGATGATGGAGACACAGTTGTTGTGGTTGAAAAGGACCATTTCATGGAGGATTTCTTCCATCAGGTAAGAACGTTTAATGGAACCCAGTCATTGCCTCCCTCCCTCCCTCCCTCCCTCCCTCCCTCCCTCCCTCCTTTTCTTTTTCTCTTTCTTTTTCTTTTTTGTGGAGACAGAGGCTCGCTCTGTCACCCAGGCTGGAGTGCAGTGGCACAATCTTGGCTCACTGCAACCTCTGCCTCCCAGGTTCAAGTGCCTCAGCCTCCCAAGTAGCTGGGACCATAGGCTGGCGCCACCAGGCCCAGCTAATTCTTTTTTTAAATTTTTAATAGAGACGGGGTTTCACTATGTTGCCCAGGCTGATTTCAAGCTCCTGAGCTTGGGCAATCTGCCTGTCTCAGTCTCCCAAAGTGGTGGGATCACAAGCATGAGTCCCCGCCTCAGCGACTTTCTTCTTTAAACGTTTATATTAATATGATTGTGCCTTTGTCATATTTCAAATAATACTTCAGCTAATATTTTTAAAAGTTATTGTTTGAGTTACATGAGTTCTCTGGAATTTTTACTATGATCACAATGTTAGTTAATAATGAGAACATTGCAAATCATCGTTCCTGATGCAGCCTGGGAGGGAATTGGGTGCGGATGGTAGAACTGTGCACATGGCCTCGGTGTGGACCGGGGCGGTGCCTGCAGGGCCCACTGGGGGTGGCGCCCACTTCTCCCCCCGTTGGTGGCTGCCGCAGGAGCACCTCGTCCTTGCAGGCTGCCTTTGGGAGGTCCTGCCGCACCCCTGAAGAGAGTTTTATGAGGCCTCCCCGCAAGACCAGCAGTGTCTCAGAACGAGGCCTCCTTGGTTCTTCAGGAGGTGGTGATTCTGGCAGTAGAGGTGGCGCCTGGCTGTGGGCACACGGGTCAGGTGTGCGAGGCTCCCGCCAGCCCTGCCGCCTTTCACCGGTGGGAGTGAGGCCTGAGGGTGCGCATAGAGCAGAGGGCTCAGGGTCTGAAACCGGCGACTGAGGAACTGCACATGAGCTCACACAGAAGACTCAGAAGGGAAGTTGCAGGTGACCCAGTGGCTGGTATTTTAAGACATGGAAACCTTCCAGCATGGGGTGCAGCGGCCTGCCAGTGCCTGTCTGAGGTGTGAGCCTCCCCTCCTGCTCATCTCCCAGTGCAGCCCTTCCGCTTAGGCCCTGCTGAGATTCTCAGACCTGAGGACTGTTCGATCTCATGTGGCGGCACTGAGTCACAGAACAAATGCACTGACTGTTAAACATGAAGAAACAAAAACACAGGCCCGCCGGACTTTTTAATGACGGAACCTTCATGGCAGGACTCGCTTTGATTATGCTGAATCTCATGGGATAGTTTCACTTGACAGTCTCAACTGGTCTGTCAGTTCCTGGATTTGAAATTTTTTAATAGGTTTATAAAAATATATGAAAAGTTATTAGGTTTTCACCTTCAGCCAGAATTTCTTTAATAGCTCATGTAAGCCTAGTGACAGGTTTTCAGGTTTTTGTTAGTTGCTGCTGTTACCGAATGGAAAAAGCCATGAGATTAAATTGTTAGCTACAGGGAACTTCCTTTAAGCTATAAAGGAGTTAAGATACTGGGTTTTCCTGATTTCATTTCTTTTTAAATTGTCTGTAGCCTTCCTGCCCCTTTTGTCAAATTATTTTTCTGATTTTATTTCTTTTACTTGGTTGCTTAACTCTTCCATGAAAGTTCTTTGTGAAAATGTGTTTGTTTAATTAATTAATTTATTTATTTTTGAGATACAGTCTCACTCTGCTGCCAGGCCAGAGTGCAGTAGCACAATCTGGGCTCACTGCAACCTCCGCCTTCTGGGTTCAAGTGATTCTTCTGCCTCAGCCTCTCCAGTAGCTGGGACTACAGGTGCCCGCCACCACACCTAGCCAACTTTTGTACTTTTAATAGAGATGGAGTTTCACCATGTTGGCCAGGATGGTCTCGATTTCTTGACCTGGTGATCTGCTCACCTTAGCCTCCCAAAGTGCTGGGATTACAGGCGTGAGCCACTGCACCTGGCCAAAAAATGTGTTTATTTTAAAGAATCTCCTGCCATTAAGTATTGCGTTTACTAGAAAAGTTACATAGTTCAACACTGGCGTGGTGGCTCACACCTGTAATCCATAGTTCAGTGCCGGCACGGTGGCTCACACCTGTAATCCCAGCACTTTGGGAGGCCAAGGCAGGTGGGTCAGCTGAGGTGAGGAGTTGCAGACCAGCGTGGCCAACGTGGCGAAACCCTGACTCCACTAAAAATACAAAAACTAGCCAGGGATGATGGCGGGTCCCTGTAATCCCAGTTGCTTTGGAGGCTGTGGTGGGAGACTTCCAGAACCCAGGAGGCGGAGGTTGCAGTGAGCTGACATCATGCCATTGCACTCCAGACTGGGCAACAGTGAGAGACTCCATTCCAAAAAAAAAAAAAAAAAAAAAAGGAAAAAGAAAAGTAACATTGTGGAATTCACTGACTGTCATTAAGCTGTGGTCTTTCTGTGCCAGTTGTCTTTGCTGCTGGCATCTCAGGGCATGTGGGAAACAGGTTAGCTGTGCTGTAGAAAGGCTTGCCCAGTGCTTGTCCTCACAGGGTTCTAACTTAAGCTCAAGCTTTCATTTGTTAAATAGTCAATTTATTTGGTACTTAATTTCTGTGATGACTTCTTAGACTAATGCAGAAGCAAATAATGCTTGTTAATGCAAACTCAGCTTTAGAAAATGGCATTCTGATCTTTAATATCACATAGAAGTTTGCAAGAGAAATGGATGTCGTACGTGACAACTGTTGGTTAGACACTAAAATTGTGCTCTGAAAAGTGGCCAGGGAGGCTCCTCTCTGTGAAGATGATTTATAACAGAGCGAAAATTTATAACGGAGCAAAAGAGAACCCCTGCTATTTTCGTCCCGGACTTAAATGGTAGCTGGCCAGCTTCTCTCTCTGTGCCTCTCTGGGTGCTGGGCGTGTAGCCCTGCAGCTTCCTGCTCCTCTGGAGCCACAAGGGGCTTGGAGTTAGCAGTGGTATAGATTGCAGAACTTTCCAGGAGTTGCAGTTTTTTTTTTTTTTTTTAACTTTCTGACATATGTGTATTATTTTAGAAACAGTACTTTTTCTTCTTTCTTCTTTTTTTTTTTTTGAGACAGAGTCTCGCTTTGTCGCCCAGGTTGGAGTGCAGTGGCGTGATCTTGACTTACTGCAACCTTCTCGTCCCAGATTCAAGCAGTTCTCCTGCCTCGGCCGCCTGAGTAGCTGGCACTGCAGGTGCCTGGCTAACTTTTGTATTTTAGAGATGGCATTTCCCCGTGTTGCCCAGGCTGGTCTTGAACTTTTGACCTCAAGTGATCTGCCCATCTCAGCTTCCCAAAGTGGTGGGATTACAGGTGTGATCCACTGCTCCCAGCCTTTGTGATTCTTCAATACTTAGACTTTGCAAATCTGGTCTGGGGCTTGGCCTAGGGTCCCTGGTGTCCCTAAGACCCTTTCAAGAGGTTTCTGTGGTCAAGCTCTTTTCAAAGCAATACTAAGATGATGATTGGCATTTTCATTCTCTCGTGACGGCATGATGATGGAGTTTCTCAGAGCCAGCACACCAAACCTCAAAGTATGAGGATCAGGGTGCCTTCTCTTAGGCCAGACGTTAGATTTACAAAAAAATGCGAATCACTGCCCTTGTTTCCCCTGAGTGTTTGCAGAGTGGTTTTTCACAGAAATGTGTTCTTTATGTTGGCATGTGTGTCAGTTTCCTGCTGCCGTAACACATCACCACAATCATCGTGCTTCAACAACGCATTCATCGCTGCCTCCAAGTTCCAGGGGCTGGAGAGGCCTGGGTGCGGGCAGGGAGGAGCTGCGAGCCTCCTGGAGCCGCTGCCTTCTCTCCAGCTTCCTTGGGTGGCCCGTGTTCTTGGCCCATGGTGCTGTCCTCCGTCTTCAAAGCCATCACTCCAGCTGCTGTTTTCAGGATCAAGTCTCCTTTTTCCGACGTTGGTCCTCTTGCCTCGTCTTACAAGGGCTCCTGTGGTTCTGTTGGGCCACCCAGATAATCCAGGGTAGTCTCCCATCTCAAGACTCTACTTGGTCACATCTGCAAGGTTCCCTTTGCCATGCAAGGTGACATATTTATCCAGGCTCCAGGATTAGGATGTGGATTGTGCCACAACGTGTCATGGTTAATAATTGCTGCCTTTTTAAAGAGCAGGGTCTAGCTCTGTTGCCCAGGCTGGAGTCTAGTGGTGCAATCACAGTTCCGTCCAGTCTCAACTATGTGGGCCCAGGAGATCTTCCTGCCTCAGCCTCCTAAGTGGCTGGGACTGCACGTGTAGCCATGCACCATCATGCCTGGCTAGTTTTCTTTTTCTTGTTTTTCTTTTTTTTTTTAGTTTTTGTAGAGATGGGTTCTTTCTATGTTGCCCAGGCTGGTCTTGAACTCTTGGCCTCAAGTGATCCTTCTGCCTTGGCTCCCAAACTGCTGGGATTACAGGCATGAGCCCTGTACCTGGCCTGTAATTACTATTTTAAAATGAGGAAGGAGGGAGGCACTTGGGACTTCAGCCCATTCATGCCTAGTGCTCCATTACTGGGATGCTAAGCTTGTGTGACTGCGTTACATCCTGCTGCTCAGGGCCATCCCCGACGTCTGATTTTTCAGACAAAAACTTGCAGCCTCTGGCATGAGTGGGTTAATGAGGACCCGCCTGGAGAACCCAGGATAATTTCCCATCTCACAAGCCTCAGTTCAGTCACATCTGCGAAATATTTTCTGCCGTGGAAGGTAACGTGCAGATCCTAGAGGTGAGGACCGGAACGTCTTTGGGGTCATTCTTCAGCCCACCACAGAGGTTTTTGAAGATAATGTGATAACTCCCTCCAGATAAATCTTGCTAATGAGTACATTACATTTTGAAACAAATATTAAGTAGTTTAAACATTTAGAGGTCAAAGATAACAAATACGAACGCTTGGCTGTCTGAGCTGTAGATGCCTCCTCCCATAAGAGTAGTAGTATTATTTTGTTTTTGAGACGGAGTCTTGCTCTGTTGCTCGGGATGGAGTACAGTGGTGTGATCTCAGTTCACTGCAACCTCTACCTCCTGAGTTCAAACGATTCTTGAGCCTCAGCCTCCTGAATAGCTGGGATCACAAGTGTGAGCCACCTCACTCAGCTAATTTTTGTATTTTTAGTAGAAAAGAGGGTTCTCTATGTTGGCCAGGCTGGTCCTGAACTCCTGGTCTCAAGTGATCTGCCTGCCTTGGCCTCCCACAGTGCTGGGATTATAGGCGTGAGTCACTGTGCCCACATGTTTGATGGGCTTACTTCCTGGGAATACTGAGAATGGGTATTAGTAGTAGTGTGCTTCTGATTGGTCCCGTCTGTGTCATGCTTGGGACTTTAGAAGTTTTTACAACCTAATAGGTTTTGCTGGTGAATTTTGATTGGTGCCGCTTTAGGTATGAAGGTAGAAATAGTCATAGGGTATATCTTTATTTTTTAAATTTAATGATACCAGTGTAAGAATGGGAGAGGCTTTATTTCTTATGTAGTGTTTATTTGTATATTTATCTCCTTTATTCTTCCCCTTTTAAGGAATGAAAAGTGGTCACAGATTTGAATTTGCCATGCTGTCCTGACTCTCTCTCTCTCCTAGGTTGAGGAGATTAGAAACAGTATCGATAAAATAACTCAGTATGTTGAAGAAGTAAAGAAAAACCACAGCATCATTCTTTCTGCACCGAACCCAGAAGGAAGTAAGTGGTTGGCTTTTTAAAAAAAGTTTGTTTGTGTGCCGCTCTCTCTTGCTGTCTGCAGCACAGGCTTCAACTCTGCGTTCAGGGAAGTTGATGCAAAATACTGATACCCTAGAGAGGCCAGCCAGGGCATCCGTATGGCCTTTTTTACAAGCTTCCCGTATGATTGTAGTGGTCAGCCAGGGGGAGGACCACTGATGGATCGTATCCTAAAGACGACATGAAAGTGGCTGTGCAGAACCCAGGGGCTGGGTCAAACACTAGACCACAGCTAAGCAAGACAGAATTGTGTGTTCCCAGGGCAGAGGTTCAGGGATTGATTTGGAAAACATTACTCGCAAGAGCAGGGTGAAAGATGAGGACACGCTGAGGGGCTCTGCAGGTCTTAGGGAGGAGCTTTTGCGTGGACTGTGCCACACTCAGTGTCTGTGGGGAATGGCACGGAGGAAGTGTCTTCTTCCTTTACCTGGCTTCCCAAGCTCCCCCCGCCTCACAGTTGCTTCCTGTTGAATAGAAGGCAAATGGCAGAATGAAAGGGGCTCAATGGAAGCAGCCGGAGAACCTGGATTTTTGTCCTAATTTGCTTCCCACGGTATTTGCATCTCCTCATTGGGAGAAAAGACAAGATTTTAAATTAATTCAGGGGCGTGGGAGCTCTAGAGAAGTGTTTCATTGCTCTGGAATGATAAATATTGAAAGCTTTGCAGGGGGCATGGATCTGAGCAAGCCAGAGATTGCAAACTGGAGTCCACACATCATGGTGGGGGAGTTGCTATGTTGACAACACTGAGTGTTTTATTCCGTGGGAACAGCCCCTGCCACCAAGATGGAGGGCACCTTCCATGCCTGTCAGTGCAGTGCTGTTGGTTCTGAGGAGGGGTCTTGCATATCGTTTGTTGTATTTATGCCCAGGTAGCCACTGTTTTGATGTCAATGGAAGTCATTGTCCCTTTGTTTGTTGTTGATATGGAAATACAATGGTTTTTGTACATAGGCCTTGTATCTTTTGCCTGTAGAGCCACAGCCCTACAGGATCGTGGGGTGTCCTCTATCACTGTGCTGAGGTGCAGGAGCTGAGAAATAAAGAGACAGACACAGAAGGACAAAGAGCGCAGCTGGGCTCGGGGGGCCAAGCCACCTATAAGCGGAGACAGGCGAGGCCCCGAATGTCCAGAAGCATCTATATTTATTGGATATAGGTTAGGGGCAGGGCAGTGAGTGAGGTCATCTTAAGGATAGTGATAGGGTCAAGACCAGGCATCCCCAAACTATAACCCACGGGCTGCATGTGGCTCCCTGAGGCCATTTATCCGGCCTCCCGCCGCACTTCTGGAAGGGGCACCTCTTTCATTGGTGGTCAGTGAGAGGAGCACAGTATGTGGCGGCCCTCCAACGGTCTGAGGGACAGTGAACTGGCCGCCTGTGTAAAAAGTTTGGGGATGCCTGGTCAAGACAATCACGTGAGCAGTAAACAAGGGGTCTACCCCATTAGGTTACCTAGGCTAGGAGATGGGCCGTGCGCGGTGAAGAGGGTGCAGCATGCAGTATCTCTTACCTAGGGGCAGGCTACTTCTAAGGGATTCTATAGGAGGATGCTTTGAGCAGCGACAGAGCTGACCAGGGCAGGCGGCTTCCAGTGATTTCTACAGGAGGACGCTCTGAGCAGCACAGTAGCTACAGAGCTGACAAGTTACACAGTCACCAAGGCCGGTTATACCGCAGGGGTTTTCAGCCCTCGGACATTCGCAGGATTGCCGTTCAGCGGGCAGCCTTCCGCAAGAACTGGAGCAAGGTCCTACAACTCCTTTATCAGGAGGAGTGGCTCTCACCCCAAGCCTGCCACACAGCGGCTTTCTTTACCATACTGAACGCTGCCGCCTGGGCCATAATTCTTGTCCTGTATAACTGTTTTCCCTTAAACCATGCTCTGCACCGTGTCTGCTCTAGGCATTCCTCCGACTGTGAACTAAAATATAATTATATGTATATATAGGAAAATAACTGAGTAGTAAGACATTCTTCAGGCACTAATTGTATAAACTAATATATGATTATATAAAGGATTATATAAAGGAAAGAACTGACTAGTAACACTGTAAACTAAGACATTCTTCAGGCACTAATTGTGCCAGGAATCCGCTTAGCTCTCCTTCCTCCGTTCCCAGATGGGGGGTTCCCCACACTTGCCTAATCAGTTATTAATTCCAGTATTCTCTGTGGATTGTGTTGGATTGTCTCTGTACCCACTCATGTCATTGTGAATAGTGACTTTTTTCTTGCAGCTCTTATGCTTTTTAAGTGACCTAGTTTGCTGACCTCCAGTGCAGTGTGGAATAGAAGCGGTGATGGGCACATGGATTCTCGGTCTTGGAGGAAGCTACCAGCAAATACATTTTTGTTGGAGTTTTATTTAGTGCAGCCATGCATTGAAAAAATAAGAAAGTAGTATTAAATTGAGAAAGAACACATTTTAAACGTTTGCATGTCTTGTAAAATAATGTTCGGAGCCTCTGTCTGTGCCCTCTCAGTGACTTACAAGTGCGTTTCCCCGAAATGTTTCTGGAGCCACAGTCCGTGAGCTCGACTGTGCATCCAGGGTGCTGCGGCCCAATACTTCTGCCGGCCTCTTCCTCCGTCACCCGGCCCCTCTTGGGAAGTTACAGTGCACTTAGAATAATAAAGGCTCTGAGAAGGCCTGCGAGAAGGAAGCCTGTTTAGCTTTATTTAGTGTTTCACAGATTTATTTGCCTGTAGGACCTTTTATGTAACGTCTGTTAACATCATGCTTAATGCGTAGGGAAATTATATTTGAATAAGTATCAGCATTTTTTGAATAATTTACCTCCAGAACATTTTTGCTGCCAAGTCGTAGCAGATAGAACGAATTTTTGAATTAATTGAGAACTGTTACTATTTCGGGATGGTCCCTTTCCGGCTCTAAAGAAAACCGTTGCTTTTTGTCTTTTGTTTGTTACCGTGTGAACCAGAATGTAGGCAGCAGCCCCAGCCGCTTCCTTGGTCAGTCTTTAGAAAGCAAAATGCAGTGACTCCTCTCTCCCAGCTGATGCAGAGGGAGCAGGCCCCGGCCTTCCCGCCCGGTTCCCAGAGAAGGTGGGGAGGGTGGGGGGAGGAAGGGGGACTACAGTGCTTCCCCATCCCCGTGTCTCCCCTGCCTCAGGCGCGCGCCCGGTACAGGTCCCGCTGAGCGGGGCGATCCCCCGGCTGCTGCCCCCGCCGCTCCCACCTCCGCCCCGCTCCCACCTACCCCACCCCTCCCACCTCCGCCCCGCTCCCACTGCACCCCACCCCTCCCACCTCCGCCCCGCTCCCACCTACCCCACCCCTCCCACCTACCCCACCCCTCCCACCTACCCCACCCCTCCCACCTACCCCACCCCTCCCACCTACCCCACCCCCCACCCTCCCACCTCCGCCCCGCTCCCACCCCCCCCACCCTCCCACCTCCGCCCCGCTCCCACCCCCCCACCCTCCCACCTCCGCCCCGCTCCCACCCCCCCCACCCTCCCACCTCCGCCCCGCTCCCACCCCCCCCACCCTCCCACCTCCGCCCCGCTCCCACCCCCCCCACCCTCCCACCTCCGCCCCGCTCCCACCCCCCCCACCCTCCCACCTCCGCCCCGCTCCCACCCCCCCCCCCACCTCCGCCCCGCTCCCACCCCACCCCGCCCCGCCCACCTGAAGCCCCAGGGAAGGGCCGGGCACAGCAGCCGCCAGGGGGCGCCAGAGACAGCCGGTCCCGGGCGGGCTCCCGGTCCTAGCACCGCCAGCGCCGTCACCTGCAGCGGCGGGTCCCAGGGCAGAGACGTGGGCGAAGGACCTTTTACCTGCATATTTCTTTTTTCACTTCGACTTTTGTGTTATTTATTTTTTATTAAAAGAGGGCTTTTGCAAAATGTAGAAATTTCAGCCCCCGCAAGACACAGATCCGCTCCTGCAGTGTACGTGATTCGGATTTGGGTCCTAGTGACCACCAGAGTGGGATCCCTGCAGGATGCGGCGAGCTGATGGCTCCCGGGCCTGTGGTCCTGCGGTCACAGCCAGCCTGGCTTGCCCTGTCCCGCGTTCTCCCCTGTTCTCCGCTTCCTGTTCCCGCCGCGGTTCCCTGGGGCTGCTCAGCTCTGTCTGCGCCGGGACCCCGTGTGATCATCTCGGTCTCCAGCGCCGCCTGCTCCCGTGCGTTCTGTGCTTTTCTGACTCAGAGACCTGGGTCCTTATGCGGAGGCCCCTGTGGATTCAAATCTGCTCCACCGTTATTCCCTGTGTGGCCTTGGACACGTCACTTAACATTTCCCGGGGCAGTTCTCACACGAGTGAAACGAGTTAGTAGTGGCATCTGCCTTTAAGTGCAGTTATGAGTCTCCCCCGACCCCGCAAACGGAGTCTCGCTCCCTCGCCGAGGCTGGAGTGCAGTGGCGTGATTGCAGCCTCAGCCTCCTGGGCTCAGACAGTCCTCCCACTTCAGCCTCCCGAGTAGCTGGGATTACAGGTCTGTGCCACCACGCCCAGATAATGTTTTGATTTCTTGTCTTTTCTTTTTTTTTTTTTGGTAGAAACGGGGTCTCACTATGTTACCCTTTTCCTGTCCCTTCCCCAGCAGGGCATGGGGGTAGCTCATGGGGCTTTCTCCCTTCAGAAACGATGCCATTTACTCCCTGTAAGTAGCTCCGTGCCTAGGTCCAGCGACGTCCCACTGCAGGGCCTTCTTAGGGAGTCTCAGCTCCAGGACCCCTGCTGCGCTCCAGCCCAGCTGCCCCCATCACAGGCTGGGACTACCCAACCCGCCCCCACCAAAGTCTGGGACCACCCCACCCGCCCCCACCACAGGCTGGGACCTCCCCACCCCCACCACCACAGACTGGGACCACCCCACCCGCCCCCACCACCACAGGCTGGGACGTCCCCACCGCCCACCACCACAGGCTGGGACCTCCCCACCCCCACCACCACAGGCTGGGACCACCCCCCCCACCACAGGCTGGGACCTCCCCATCCCCCACCACCATAGGCTGAGACCTCCTCACGCCCCCCACCACCACAGGCCGGGACCTCCCCACCCCCCCCACCATAGGCTGGGACCTCCCCACCCCCCCCACCATAGGCTGGGACCTCCCCCCCCCCCACCACAGGCTGGGACCTCCCCCCCCCCCACCACAGGCTGGGACCTCCCCACCCCCCCACCACAGGCTGGGACCTCCCCCCCCCCACCACAGGCTGGGACCTCCCCCCCCCACCACAGGCTGGGACCTCCCCACCCCCCCACCACAGGCTGGGACCTCCCCACCCCCCCACCACAGGCTGGGACCTCCCCACCCTCCCCACCACAGTCTGGTACCTCCCCACTCCCCCACCACAGGCCGGGACCTCCCCACCCCCCCCACCACAGGCTGGGACCTCCCCACCCTCCCCACCACAGTCTGGTACCTCCCCACTCCCCCACCACAGGCTGGGACCTCCCCACCCCCCCCACCACAGGCTGGGACCTCCCCACCCCCCCCACCACAGGCTGGGACCTCCCCACTCCCCCACCACAGGCTGGGACCTCCCCACCCCCCCCCCCACAGGCTGGGTCCTCCCCCCCCCCCCCACCACAGGCTGGGACCTCCCCACCCCCCCCACCACAGGCTGGGACCTCCCCAGCCCCCCGCACCACAGGCTGGGACCTCCCCACCCCCCCACCACAGGCTGGGACCTCCCCACCCCCCCACCACAGGCTGGGACCTCCCCAGCCCCCCGCACCACAGGCTGGGACCTCCCCACCCCCCCACCACAGGCTGGGACCTCCCCACCCCCCCCACCACAGGCCGGGACCTCCCCCCCCCCCCACCACAGGCTGGGACCTCCCCACCCCCCCACCACAGGCTGGGACCTCCCCACCTGCGGCCTTCCTGTCCTTGTGGTTCCTTCCCCTTCCTTCTTATCTCCTTCAGTGAAGATACTTTATTATCTGAAATTATCCTCAGTTTAATATTATTTTGGAAGGATATTTTCACTGAGTATAAGATTCCAGTTTAGAAGTTACTTTCTTTCATTACTTTGAAGATTTAAAAACTACGTTTCCAGGTTTCCAGTGTCTTTTGGCTTTTTTACTTTTTATTATTTTTTTTTGTCAGCTAATTAGAGCTTTTAAGATGTTTGTTTTTTGATCGTTGGTTTTAGCCATTTTCCCTTTTTTGAGATGTGGTTTTCATTTTCTTTTTTCCTCTTCTTATAAGGCTTCCTGAATCTTTGGACTGACATTTTCTGGCAGTTTTTGAAGAACTTTGGCCATTACTTCTTCAAATGGCACGCTTGCTCCATTTCTGTCATCTCGCTTCGTGACTGGAATGGCATGTCTTTTCAGGCTTCTCACTGTATCCTTTCTGTCTTTTCTCCTTTGTTCTCTATTTCTTTATCATTTTTCCCTATGTATTTTATTTTGAAAATGTTTTCCCTGACTTCTCTTCAGTGATTGTCTTTCAGATCAGGGAATCTTTCTTCATCTATAGAATTATTTTTGGATTTGTTTTAACTTCTAGAATTCCATTTAGTTCCTTTTAATACTGTCCTATTCTCTGACAAAATTTATGATCTTATATTTTATCTCTTTGAATGTGACTTTTAAAGTTCATGTCTTGTAACTTCATTAACTGGTACCTCTGTGGATGGGTTTATGTTGTTCGTTGTTTTGGTTTCATTCATGTGTTTTTTTCTCTTTGGTTATTTTTGATTGAGTTTTGAGCTTCATATTTGAATTATTTGTAGTAATAATTTGAGTCCCGAATGGTATTTTCTTTTTGAAGAGATGATTTAGTTTTATTTCTGGCAGATGGCTAGAGGCACCAGCAGTTTCAGATCTAGTTTTAGGGATTGGGATGATTTGGAATGGGGCTTCAGCCCCCCCAGACTGTTCCTCCTGGGGCGTCGCCCTCCGCATCGGCACAGCCTTCTCAGCTTCTCTGCAGCTCAGCTTCCTTCTGTGGAGTTGGCACGTGCCCCAGGTAGAAGGGACTGCACAGGTGGGGTCCACCTCTTCAGATTTTCTTCTGCTGAATCTTCTTTCCTGCCTTGCTAGGTTTCTCTCTTTTTAAAATTGTTTTATTTATTTTGTGCCTTATTTAGGTTTCTAATGGCTTTACGCAGATTTACAAAGAGTATTGCGTCTACCCTTTTTAATTGTTCTCAGCAGGAGGATTGCGCTGATTCACCTGGGCCACTAGAAGAGAAGGCTCCTGATACCCCTTCCAGTCTCAGTGATTTGAAATACCACCTTTATCAAATATGACCTTGTGGCCAGTATCTGCAGCTTGCAGGATCAGACGGGCAGTGCCTCTTTTATTTTGCTGATGAGTTGCTGGAGCCCCTGTGTGCCTGTCTTAGCAGCAAGTTCACCCTTTCCTTCGAGTGCCCCCTACCCCCTGCTGTGTAAGAGCCAAGGGTTTTCTTTCCCTGGGGCAGTGAGTCCTGCTGTGACCGGCCAGCTGAAGAGGGAGAATCTCGTCTACCAGCAGGCCTGGCTCTCAGATCATGTGGTTTCTGTGGCTGTGCAGTGGCTCAAGCCTGTCTCCTGAGTTTAGCTGTCCTCAGCTGTCATCAGGAGCTGGCCTGGCCAGACCCCTGCACAAATGCCCTTGCTGTGTGTACGTTGTAACTTCCACTCCTGCACTGGGCCCTCGCTCCCCTGGCACAGTGGCCTGGGCTTGCAGGGTGTCTGCAGCAGCCTCACGCACCACAGGAGCCAGCACTCCTGCCGCCAGCTGCGGACCTGCCCCCTCTTTATTCACAGCAGGTCTCTCCAGTTCCTGTTAAATGCCCCATTTATAAGTTTGTTTGTGTTCCCTTTACTATTCTAAAATGCAATTCGTAGATAATGTAGCCTACCTACTGCCACAATTAAACAAACATGTAATATCCAAACTAAGCCGGGCGCGGTGGCTCAAGCCTGTAATCCCAGCACTTTGGGAGGCCGAGGCGGGTGGATCACGAGGTCAAGAGATCGAGACCATCCTGATCAACATGGTGAAACCCCGTCTCTACTAAAATACAAAAAATTAGCTGGGCATGGTGGCGCGTGCCTGTAATCCCAGCTACTCAGGAGGCTGAGGCACGAGAATTGCCTGAACCCAGGAGGCGGAGGTTGCGGTGAGCCGAGATCGCGCCATTGCACTCCAGCCTGGGTAACAAGAGCGAAACTCCATCTTAAAAAAAAAAAAAAAAAAAAAAAAAAATCCAAACTAATATGAAGGAGACATAACATGAAAGTAACTTACATATGGAAGTACAGGTTCTATCGTACAGGCTCAGGAACAGTCACACCGGAAAACAGAATTCAGGTGCTCACCCTGTACAAACAACTCCTGTGAGTGTGACAGCTAAGACTGCAAACTGAGGAGGCTCTGGGATTCAGATGCTGTCAACAGGCTGCCCGTGTTTTTCCTGAGGCGGCGGGTGTCGCCGACATGGAATGAAGTACAACTTTCTCCCTGTGCAGAGCAGTGACGTGGCAGTTGCATTCCTGAAAATCCACTGGATGTTGAAACTATGCAGATGAAAATCAGGCTTATTTATAAGCTGGAGTCAGGTTCTGGGCTCAGGAAAACAGGTCTTCTCTCCTGTCTGAGTGACAGTGTGCATTTGGAAGTGAAGCAGGTCAGCGGGTGATGTGCTGACGTTGTAACAAAGTTCGAGGGTGGCACGTCTCAGACGAGCACGAACGCCCCATCCTGACACGCAGGAACTGCAGACTGATCGAGCTCAGTTCTTCGTTGTGTGATCCTGGCTAGTGCCATTCCTGGCTCCGGTCTTCTGGATGCCAGGGGCTCTTCCTTTTTTTGTGATGACTAGAAATACCCCACAAATTTCAGAATACCTCTTAAGGTGGTAGAAAGATTCCCCTGAGAACCTCCCTTTAGAAAAATGTTCACAATTGGGCTGGGTGTAGTGGCTCACGCCTATAATCCCAACACTTTGGGAGCCTGAGGCGGGCAGATCAGTAGGTCAGGAGATTGAGACTGTCCTGGCCAACATGGTGAAACTCCATCTCTACTAAAATACGAAAATTAGACAGGTGTGATGGTGCACCCCTGTAGTCCCAGCTACTCGGGAGGCTGAGGCAGGAGAATCTCTTGAACCCAGGAGGTGAAGGTTGCAGTGAGTCGAGATCACACCACTGCACTCTAGCTTGGTGACAGAGCAAGACTCCGTCTCAAAAATAAAATGAAATGGAAAATGTTCATAGAGGAGAACCACTAAAGGGCCCCTTGTGTCTAGTCTCTCTTTTTTTCTAGTTTCATCTGTTATCAAAATAATCTTTCGCTGTTTTTAATTTTTTCTTTTTCTTTCCTTTTTAAAATAGATATGGCGTCTTGCTGCTTGCCCAGGCTGGTCTTAAACTCCTGGGCTTAAGTGATCCTCCTGACTCAGCCTCTGGAGTAGCTGGGACTACAGGTGCACACCACTGTGCCTCGCTTAAAAAGAATCTTTCTAATGCATCTTTGCTGATATCTTTCTTTGCCTAGAAACCTTCAGTGCTGACTGGTGCTCAGAAAAAGCCCTGAACTCAGGCGGGCCTGCACACTCCTGCCCAGCCTGCCTGTAGAAAAAGCCCCGAGCCCAGGCGGGCGCGCACACTCCTGCCCAGGTGGCCTGTAGTGGCCTCTGCCCACACCAGTCACTTCAGCTCACATTCCTGCTGCCCTGTGCCAGAGGCCCTTCCCCTGCCTGCAGTGGAAGCCGCCAGTCTCTCACTCCCAGGTCAGATGTTCCCTCCTGCGGGACAGCTGGCAGTAGATGCCCCTCCTCGTGGCTGCCCATGGTGTTTTGTGAAACCTGTCTCTTCTGTTGTTAGTTTCTGCCTGGCATCGGCACTTCCTGGGTTTGTCTTACCTTTTTCATGAAGGTGTTAGATCCCTGGTGATCTTCTTAGCCTCCCTGGATAGCACGAGCCTTCGCACATGTGCAGGACTCGGTAGGTGTTACTGGTGCATGGCCTCTCCCCTCTGGAGCTCACTCCGTCCCTGAAGCCCTGGAGGAGCCAGTCTGCCTCTGCTGACCGTCGCTGAGCATGGACAGAAGACTGAGCACGCACTGGTGTGCAGTAGATTCTCAGGGCATCCTGCGTGCACTCAGCTGAGGGGTCCCAGGAAGAGAATGGGCATCTCTGGAAGCTTTCGTTCTTGGCCAAGTTGTCTGTGGCAGAAACATTTGCGTTTTCCCCCGCTGATGCATGTGAGACTGAGTGAAAAGGGCAATGCAGGGCTCCAGAGATGGCGAGGCCTTCCTGTCTCAGCCACTTCTGCCCGAAAGAGGGAGAAACCCCTCAGGCCACTTCAGCCACTGGGCTAGTAAACGTGAGTGTGTGCTGTGGGGCGGGCATCCTGCTGCCCTCCCGGGGCTCTGGGGCAGCTGGCCATGAAAGCAGAGGCTCCTGGGGCGGCTTCAGCTCTCAGCACCTCCCTGGAGTGTTGGCCCCTGCTCTTCCGGTGTCCCTCCGTTTCCAGTGGCAGTGAAGTGGTGGCTGTGATTATGCGGGCACCTTGGGGGACAGCTGAGAGCACAGGAGGAAAGCAGACACGCTGGACTGTTGAGACCGGCGTTATGGCTCCGTTTTCCTTTCTCAGGTCTAGGTGTTAGCAGTGGATTTAGGCAGCAGTTTCGTTAATTGGTATAGACCAGCAAGTCTCAAACTTTGTGACACGGAGGGTTTGCTAACTCGAGTTTACTGGGCCACACCCCGCCAACCCAAGCAAAGTTTCTGACTGAGTAGGTCCAGGGTGGGGCCCCAAGGATTTGCGTTTCTATTAAGCTCCCACCTCTTGCTTATAAAAGTTGCTGTCTGCGGTGGGTAGGGGGTAGGGGGTGGAGGGGGATGAGGACCCACCTTGAGAACCACTGGTATAAGCAGTAATTTTTCTTATAGGAAAAAGTGAATATTTACTAAGAATACTGTTTCACTTGAATTTATTAGACGTCATTAATGTTGAATGTTATAGCTCAGATGCTGTATTTTTTTATTTTAAATTTTTAGAAATAAAAGAAGAGCTAGAAGATCTGAACAAAGAAATCAAGAAAACTGCGAATAAAATTCGAGCCAAGTTAAAGTGTAAGTTTAAAGTTTTACATTTAGTTATTGATGTTGGGAGTATGGGTATGGTATTTGTTATTTTATTCTTTATTGGTTTTTGTTCTTTTACATTTTTAAAAATTAAAATTGTGACTGCTTTAAAATAAATTGTGTGTAATTCAGAGTATTCATATTCAAAAAGATGATGTGTTTGCTTATAAACTGTTACACTGTTAGGTTTTTTGTGACATTTCAGGCTAAGTTGCAGATGTTGGGAAGGTGCATTGCCAGGCTCTTCTTGAATGGACCCTTTACCTGCTCAGTTTTTTCAGGCTTTCAGGAGAATTCATTTCATGATGTTTGGCATTCTGCTGTAGCAGCAGTAGTTTTTGGGAGGCTTATGGCTTTTGCATGGGACTTCAACAGAGGTTTTTTTTGTTTTTGTTTTTGATTTGGTAGAACAGATTGTATTTGATTTTTGCAGAATGGCATTAAGATCAAAAACAGTCTCTGTGCAGATGATACAATACTTTCATTATGGCAAGTTTCAGATGTGTGCAGAAGCAGAGAGAGGTGACCACAAGCCGAGCCCCGCAGCTCCGCAGTTCTCCATGAGCCCCCCCACACCCGCTCCCAGGCCATGAAGCCCTCCCAGGCAGCTGAGATTTCATCAGTGTGTATTTCAAAAACAGAAGCTTCCCTAACAGCACAACCACAATTATATCTACACCAAATTCATTGTAATTACTTAATATCACAAAATATCCAGGCAGAGTTTATATTTCCCCAGTCGTCTTGTGATTTTTTTTTTTTTTTTTTTTTTTAACAGTTTGCTTGAATTGAGTCCCAGATAAGGACCAAACTTGGGCGTTTAAAAATGAGATTCTCCCTTCGTCTTTTTTCCCTCTGGCACTGTTTTGCTTTGGTTGGTGAAGCCGGGTCATTTGTCCTGCGTAACGTGCCACACCGCAGACGTCGCTGGTCTCACCCCTGCAGCATGTTTCGTAGACTCTGCCGTCCTCTGAATTTGCTGTAGGTTGATAGGTAATTTCTCCAACCTTCATCTGATTCAGGTGTTTTTTGTGGGTTTTTAAAAGGTAAAGATGCAGCATCTGATTACAGATTTTACGTCCTCATGGTTAGTTAAGATGTTAGTGGAGACATTAACATTTTTTCTTGGCTCTAAATAATTTCAGTAAAGTTTTAAATAAGATATAACATTCTTTGCCATTCTGTGGTATTGTCAAAAATGGATGATTATTTCCAAGATCCATAATTAATTAGAAGTTGCAAGCAGTAAGTTTTTTTCTTTTCTTTGAGACAGAGTCACCCAGGCTGGAGTGCAGTGGCGCAATCTCAGCTCACTCACTGCAACCTCTGCCTCTCGGGTTCAAGCGACTCTCTGCCTCAGCCTCCCAAGCAGATGGGACAACAGGTGTGTGCCACCACGCCCTGCTAGTTTTTGTATTTTTAGTAGAGACAGGATTTCACCATGTTGGCCAGGCTGGTCTCCGAACTCCTGACCTCTAATGATCCACCCATCTCAGCCTCCCAAAGTGCTGGGATTACAGGTGTGAATATCCTGATTTTATTATTCCTTCTTTGTTTAGTTGCTGCCCTCTCCCCTTCAACTCTTGAATTGGATAAAGTTTGGAGACTTTAACTGCCAGCCCACAGCAAATATAGAGGCCAGCAGAGCCTATTAAGCGTGTCACAGGGTGAAATCAGCAAAATGTGGAGCGTGGCAGGTTCTGTGGGACAAATGACCTGGCTTCTCCAGCCAAGGGAGCCAAAGGGCATACCGGGGCACAGATCACAGAGGACAGAGAGCATCAGCATTGGACTCTCTCTGGTACAACTTTCATAGGTCGGGTCCCTGGAGTCCTCCAGAGATGACCAGGGAGGCTCTGTTGTTGGTTCTTGTCCATCATCATGAACACATGGATGTGAACACGTCTGGTGTTTTCACTGCTGCATTATCCTTCATGCTCAGATGGTCTCTCTGGCTGGTGAGGTGGACTCTGGAGTCCTTTCAACAGGCTCTCATCATCTCTGATGGCCTTTCTGCTGTGACAAAATGACCCACTGCTCATTTCACCCCTTTTCTGCCCTGGGCCTGGGATCAGCCGACCCCAGGGAGTCCCACTCCTGTGACTGAAGAATGTTATCTAGACATCAAGGTGGGCGTGCTGGGGAATGTGCTGCCATACATGACAATGACTTGACCATTCTTTCCTAGGCTGTTTCAGTGGGTAGGGCTAAGATTCTTTTAAAAGATAAAATGAATCACGATTTCTTACTGATACTCCAAATTAAGAAGAAAGGAGGATTAAAAACATTTTGAAAGAATTTTTACTTAGTATGGGCGATATTACATCTTTATTCCTTTCAGCTATGCCCCAAATTCTGGTTCTCACTGACACATAATTATTCACTTGCTATCCACAGTACACATACAACAGACTCAAAATAATTATGCTAGCACCTACTGTCAAGAGTACGATTACTTACAAGTTGGTTTTTTGTCATTCTTTTTGTCTGTAGGTACATCCCACTGGGCTATATAATCATATTACTTTTTCCTGCTGTTGCCTCACCCACGGTCTTGCTGTGCTGGCCGGGCCGGAGTGCAGTGACTGTTCACCAGTGTGATCAGAGTGCACGACAGCCTTGGACTTCCAGGCTCCAGGGACCCCCCAGCAGTTGTGCATAGCACGTGCCGCTGTGTCCAGCAGCAAGCCACTGGGTTTTAAAGCTACTTGGAATAGTTTTTCCTCTGTGTGTTATTTAATTTATTTTGAGACGGACTTTCTTTCTCGTCCCCTAGGCTGCAGTGCAATGGCGCAATCTCGGCTCACTGCAACCTCCGCCTCCTGAGTTCAAGCAGTTCTCCTGCCACAGTCTCTTGAGTAGCTGGCATTACAGTCATCGGCCACCATGCCTGGCTAATTATTGTATTTGTAGTAGACGTGGGGTTTCACCATGTTGGCCATGCTGATCTTGAACTCATGACCTCAAGTGATCTGCCTACCTCGGCTTCCCAAAGTGCTGGGATTACAGGCGTGAGCCACCGCGCGTGGCTCCTCTGTGTTTATCTCATTAACTTGACTTTCTGTTAGGTTTGTTTTATTTTTCCCTTTAGGTTTAGGGATTACTTTTTAAATGTCTGATTTTGCATGACAGTTTGTGACGTGCTTCTGTCATTCTGAAGGGAAGTATAGAAACATATTCAGAGTCCAGCTGCTTTTCCCATTCCCCGCTTGTTTCTCCCTTCCCTTTAGGGGTGCCCAGTTTTAAAATTTGTTGGTTATCTTTTCATTTTTTCGTATGAATAAATATGTATTTGTATACCTATGTCTATATCTATATCTGTGTATATCTACACACATATTTCTAAAGAGCAGTAACAATTTCCTCTTGATGGGCTGGGGTGGTGGCTCACACCTGTAATGCCAGCACTTTGGGATACCAAGGCAGGTGGATCACTTGAGCTCACAAGTTCAAGACCAGCTTGAGCAACATGACAAAACCCTCTCTGTACAAAAAATACAAAAATTAGCTGGGTGTGGTGGCACGTGCCTGTATTCCCAGCTACTCGGGAGGCTGAGGTGCAATGATTGCGTGAGCCCAGGAGGCGGAGGTTGCAGTCAGCCGAGATTCTGCCACTGCACTGCGGCCTGGGGGATAGAGCCAGACCTTGTCTCAAAAAACAATTTTCGTCTTGATGGATTGTCTTTTTAGTAGATCGTTTTAAAAGGTCATTTGTTCATTAACTTCAGTTTTATAGATACTTCAAAGATAAGAAAGAAAAGGAATTTGAAGTTAGGCTTGAAAAATTTGTTTTTGAATTTGGAAGGTAATTATTTCCTATTTGTTCCTAGTGATTGAACAAAGCTTTGATCAGGATGAGAGTGGGAACCGGACATCAGTGGATCTTCGGATACGAAGAACCCAGGTTTGATATCAGCCTCGTCTAGATTGAAGTAATGTTGCAGAATAAGTGTTTTTACTTTCTTCCTGCAAACTCCGAATAATTTCATCTTTACTGTCATGCTTAATCTCATGGCATTTCTGCATAAAAAGAATATAGTATTGTAAAACAAAAGTATCTGAGACAGAGGTTTTTTTTTTTTTGCCAAAGTTGAGGGCACGCTTGGAGAAAAGAAATACAAATTACAGTAGGACCTGCGGCCTGTGCCTTTCCCCAAGAGGGTTTTGAGGACTTCAGAATTCAAAGGGAAGGAGAGGAAGGAGGAGACAAACAAAGAGAAAGGAAGAAAAGTAGGGTAGGCAGCCGGTGCCCGCTGCAGTGAGGCTTTGGTCAGTGCCCGCTGCATGCCATTCACACACGGGAAGAGAGACGTGGGGTCGGTTCTGCACTCCTGCACCCAGATCCGCCGTGTACCCGGGGTAAGGGAGCCTGAGTGGACGGTGGAGCCAAACGTGCATTCCTCTCAGGCTGGGCTGGGAGGTGGCTTCTAGTGTGGTGTTTGTCCTGTGTGCGTTTCTCTCGGGGTGGACTGGGGGGTGACTTCTAGCTTGTCTTTGTCCTGTACCTGGGAAGATAAGCTGCTGATTTACATTGTCAGGGTGAGATTCAGCAGCACTCTGTTTTGGGGTTTGTTTTTGTGGGGATATGTATTCTGAAAGATTCTGGGACCCACAAGGAATTTCCTTATGAGTACTTTGTGAGGGAGGCCTGTGGGGAGACGTGTGGCCTGCTGCCATCGCAGCTATCTGTCTGGGAAGAAGGAAGGCAGCGTTTTGCATGACTCCGTTCCCCAGTTTAACTTTCCCTTGGGATAGTGAGTGTGGGGTCCTGCGACTTTATTGTCTTTCACAGTGTTTATAGATCGTCTCTTTATTGTGAAGAAAAATCTATTCAGTCTATCCACAGAGGTCTATTCTGAAGAGCAGAGAATTCTCCAAATCATGTTAGTGTTTGTGGTAAGGTTGCCACGTTTTAGTGGCTTGTGGTGCAGCTGAGAGGAAAACAGAGCGCTGAGCCCTCCTGGGCATGAGGCCGTGAGGCGTGCAGGCTCTCTGGTCTGCCTGTCTGGGTTCCAGCACTGATCAGCTTTTATCAGAAAAGCCTGTGACTTTGGGGTAATTAGTCCATGGTTTTCTTTCAATAGGGGATATGACTGTTATAGTAGCCTTCTTGCGAAAATTAGGTAAGATCATGCATGCAAAGTTCTTAGCACAGATGCTGTCATGGGGATGTTGCTACTGTCATTTTCCATTTGCAGGAGCAGAATAACATGTAGTTTGAGTTTCCAAAACACATGTCTTGCATGTCACTTTGATTAGAAGCCTGGCCGGCAGATACGAATGCCGTTTTCCTGTGTTGTTAGCATTCGGTGCTGTCTCGGAAATTTGTGGAAGCCATGGCGCAGTACAACGAGGCGCAGACTCTGTTCCGGGAGCGGAGCAAGGGCCGTATCCAGCGCCAGCTGGAGATAAGTGAGTAACAGAGGCTCTGTCTTTGCTAAAACCATGTTTTTCTCCCTTAAGGTCTCACTTCAAACAACTTCAGTTTCAGAATTCCGTGTCTATTTTCACCAATGCTGTAAAACCCGAAGACCCCTCATAGCTTACTGTGCCGTGACTCAGGCAGACTGTTCTTCTGATTCCTCAGGAAGTCCTAAGCAGTGGTGTTTACCGTGCCCGTTGCCATTGCTACAGAATTTCGGGGAGGTTGGGAGAGTGCTCAGTCATTTCCTCTGTGAGTGTTTCTGTGTCCTCAGCCCCGTCCTGCCCTAGTTCAGGGGCATCTTCATGGCTCCCCACAGCTCTCCTTGTCTGTGAGCAGAGGCAGCGGCCCTATTGCCCCACACTCTTTTCAGCGGTGTCTGTGGGGGCGGTTGGCCATGGCAGTGGAGAAGGCGCCTTCCTCAGGGGGCAGACAGGTCTGTTTCGGGGACGAATGTTGGTTAGGTTTGCAGACTCCCCATTGTGAAGGATTGCGGTTCCCAAGCTCGAGTCCTTAGCTGAGACATAAACCCACTGTGGGGATGTCCCACCGTGGCTGCTCTTCCTCTCCCAAGGAGACTGGGGGCTGGGGACGGCTGCTCGTGAGCCTCAGGCTGCCTGCTGTGCTGTGAGTACGAAGGCCCTTTGTCCCTGACCTGGGGCCTCGGGAGCCGTGGCGGGTCAGCGTGTCAGCTTGCAGGTCAGGTGAAGACTCAGGCTCATCCCGGCTCGCAGCCGCTCGTCCCCTCAGAGAATGTTGTCATACGCCCGCCAGGCTGCTTGACCTTGTCCCGCAGCTCAGCGAGGCTCGTTATGTTGTAGATTCTCTTTTCCAGTGTGTTTGGTGGTGGTCAGTTTCTCTTCCGTGTCTGATCTGCCCTGAGCCTCGTCCCGTGTATGTTTCATCCCAGACGCTATGGTTTCCGATGCTAGAGGTTGCGCTGGGTCTTTCCCATGTCTTCCTTGCTGGTCCCCAGCACGCCTGGGACGCGCCTGCGGCCGCTTCTCATGTCTCTGTCTGCCAACTCCAGGTTCCGTGTCTGCTCTGGTTGGTGATAACTTTCCTTTCTGTGACTTGTGTTTTCTTGCTTCTTTGCAAGCCTGGTAAATTTTGAGTGTATGCCAGACGTTGTGAATGTGACTTTGTTGGGTGCTGAGTATTTCTGAGTTTTGTGTTCTGAGTATTTTTGTAAATCTCCTTGGGCTTTGTTTTGGAATATAGTTAAATCACATGAGCACTGTTTATACGTTGGGATCTTGGATTTCAAGGGACCAGAGCAGCTTTATTTGAGGGTCTGTCATTCCTCACTCCTGCGGCAAGACCTTTCTGAGTACCAGCTCTGATGGCCGTGAACCTCACGGTGCCCACGTCTGCCTGGGAGCCTGTTCCTCAGGCACGCTGGCCAGGCCTCCAGTGAGAAGCGGAGTCTGTGTGGCTCACTGTCTGCACCATCTCTCTCATCTCGACTCCATCTTGCAAATCCAGTTGCCTTGGCCTCCCCTGCGCTCTGTGCCTTTTCTTTAGGGCCTCCCTGGGCTCCCCGGGTCCTGCCTGCTGTGGCCGACCAGCAGCAGGCCCACCTGGCTTCTTTGCAGCTCTTGGGAATCACTGTGTGTGGCCCGATGCTCAGTGTCTTGGAAATCATTGTTTTGTAGATTTGGGTCGGTTTGTTGTAGTTATTGCAGGTGGCAAGGAAAATGCAGTCCTTGTTACTCCATCCTGGTGGAATTGCTGGCTCAATCATAATGCCGGCCAGATTGCTTTTCTGTGAAAAAGTTTTTCCAAACCACTTTGACTTCAGGGATCTGTTAGTACTTTTTAAAGCGAAAGTCGTCATTACAGGCAGCAGGTTGCTTGATGCGCTGTGAGGCTCTGTGCTCCGGGGACCCTGTGGTGGGCGCTGTTCTAGTGCAGACTCCGCAGCCTGGGGTCGAAGGCCCAGCACCGTGTCTCCTGCAGGTGTGTCCTGTCCGCACTCCCCACGTGAAGCCCGTGGCCTGATCCGATTACCTGAGTCTCTTCTCTCTTTCCCACGTTCTTCTGTCTCAACCCACAGTAGTTCATTTCCAGTGTTTCTTCTCTTACAGTCATACTCTATTGAATGCAGTAGTGTTTGTGAAAGTGTTTTATAAGCAGGCCAGGCGTTGTGGCTCATGCTTATAATCCCAGTACTTTGGATCACTTGAGGTCAGGAGTTGGAGACCAGCCTGACTGACATGGAGAAACCCCGTCTCTACTAAAAATACAAAATTAGCTGGGTGTGGTGGCGTGTGCCTGCAATCCCAGCTACTCAGGAGGCTGACGCAGGAGAATCGCTTGAACCGGGGAGGCGGGGGTTGCAGTGAGCAGAGATCGCGCCGCTGCACTCCAGCCTGAACAACAAGAGTGAAACTCAGTCTCAAAAAAAAAAATGTTTTATAAACAATGAAGAATTGTATATATGTTGGAAGTTTTTTTTAGTAATTCCTTTAAGTCTGTTAAACTCTGAACCCTCCGTGTGGCTGTTCTGAGGTGAGCAGGTCGATGCAAACTTACCCCCAAAGGCTGAGTGAGCTGAGAGGCCAAAGGAGGAGGCTAACATCCAGTTTCTCAGAAAGAAACATTTAATAGGGATGTATGACAGGAGCCTCTGAGAGACAGAGACGGTGGATCCACCGCCGCCCGCCCTCCGGAAAGCACTCTTTCTATAGCAGGCTTTCAGGGTGGGTCGTGTGCAACCTTCGTGTCTTCAGACTTTCCTGACGAGACTTGCAAGCACAGGTGAGGTTGGAGGAGCGTTGTGATGTGAGCTTGTCTGTGCTGCAGGCATTGTCTTCAGACCTCATTGCAGAATGTCTTGCATGCAGTAGTCAAACTGGTCATGGTGGCGGTTTTGCTTCAGGATGACGTCACTCTGGCCACACAGCAGGTGTCTTCCTGCAGTGGCCTCCAAACCCTTGGACCTAGCACAACTGTTTCCCTTTCTTCCTTCCTTCAGTCAGCCCTCTGGTCAGGTGGCTTCTTACCTTGCGTCACAGGATCTCTTTTCCTCTGTTGTTTGCTTTGTTTCCTGAAATGGTGAGTTTTTCTTGGACCAGGGCATGTTATATACGTCCACAGTGCCTTTTCTGGAACGGTTGGGGCTGTATGTGTTGCAGAGTGCAGCGTTTTTCAGGTTTGAGGAAGATAGTACAATGTAAAGATGTGCATTGTGGATCCCCAGGTAGGGTGTAGGACTGCACCCTCTCATCAGGCACACTAACACAGCTCCCCGGAGAAGTATGAGTATTCACAACAAGCAGGAGAAGATTATAAACAGCCTCGACTCAGTTTAGGTCAGATTTTGCCACTCATTGAATTTTGCTGTCAAGCTTAGGCGAAAACCCAGTTTTCACGATGTTTTGGATTTCAGAGTTCCGGACAAGGAATTACGAATGTACACTACACTTCCCATGCCACAACACCGGGTGGTTTCTCAGACGCAGCACTGAGCCAGTAGGAAGAGCTCCATGAGCATGAGACGGGAACAGTCGTTCTTAGTTTTATGTCTCACGCCGTCGCCCAGGCTGGAGTGCACGGTGTGATAGCCTCTCAGTGTGGCCTCGAACTCCCGGGCTCCCGGGCTGCTCCCACCTGGGCCTCTCGAGTAGCTGGTACCACAGGAGCACACCACCATGCCTGGCTAATTTTATTTTTTGTAGAGAGCAGGTTTTCACTATGTTGCCCAAGCTGGAATTTCTAGTTTTGATGATTATATTTTACATTGTTTCAAACAATTTTCATGTTTTTAAAAAAGCAAGGCAAAACTCAGAGAATCTCCTTATTGAACTATTTTGAACAGAGTTCTAAATGTTATTTGTATTATTTGTAGAGATGGGGTCTTGCTGTGTTGCCCAGGCTAATCTCAAACTCCTAGCCTCAAGCAGTCCTTCCACCTTGGCCTCCCAAAGTGCTGGGATTATACATATGAGCCACCATGTGTGGCCTTAAATAGATTTTTTAATGATTGAGAATTATCTCCCAAAAAAACAGTGTAAGTAACACATTTTGCTATTTACTAACTTACTTTTTTTCTCATGAAATGACGTCTTAACAACTTGATTGAGAAGTAATTCTCATAGTATGTGAATGGTGTTTGGAGTATACAGTTAACTTAGTATTATTAGTCACATTGACACACACAGTCAATTTTAGCACATTTTTATCACCCCAGAAAGAAACTCTACACCCATCACCTGCCACTCCCCGCTTCCTCTTCTCCTAACCCAAGGCAGCTACCATTCTGTTCTTTAGCCCTACGCGTTTTCCCATTTTGGCTGTTTCATATAAATGGAATTATACAATATGTGTTCTTCTGTGACTGACTTCTTTCCTGTAACACAGTTTTTCCAAGGTTTAAACGTGGGCAGGGCATGGTGGCTCACGTGTATAATAATCCCAGTACGTTGATTGGGAAGCCAACACAGGAGGATTGCTGAGGCCAGGAGTTCAAGACCAACTTGACAACATAGTGAGACTCCATCTCTATAAAAAAAAATTAAAAAATTAACCAGGCATGGGGTGTGTGCCTGTAATCTCAGTCACTTGGGAGGCTGAGGCAGGAGAATTGCTTGAGCCCAGGAAGTCAAGGCAGCAGTGAGCTGAGATCATACCGCTATACTCCTGTCTGGGTGACAGAGACCCTATCTCTACTAAAAAATAAAAAGGGCTGGGCGCGGTGGCTTATGCCTGTAGTCCCAGCACTTTGGGAGGCTGAGGTGGGCAGATCACTTGAGGTCAGGAGTCTGAGACCTACCTGGCCAAAATGGTGAAACCCCATCTGTACCAAAAAATACAAAACTTAGCCTGGCATATTGGTGCATGCTTGTAGTCCCTGCTACTCAGGTGTCAGAGGCATGAGAATTACTTGAACCCGGGAGGCAGAGGTTGCAGGGAGCCACGATGGTGCCCCTGCACTCCAGCCTAAGCAACAGAGTGAGACCCCGTCTCACTAAACAAAACAACAAAACCCACAAGCATCCATTCTTTCTGTCCATGGCTGCAGACTCCTGCAGTGCGTGGCTAGGCTGCAGTTGTTCAGTCGGGCTCTGTGTGGCGGACGTTTGAGCCGTTTCACTTTTTGGCAATCATGAATAATGCTGCTGTGAACATTCACACCAGATGACCTTTGAATTATGACATTTATTCATTTACTTCCATGTTCTGTGGCACAGACCGTGAAAAATAGTAATTATCAGTTAGGTTTCCAAAAACCTGTGTACATGTTTCTTAGAAGCCATTACACATTTAACTCAAAAGGAACACATTAACTTCCAAAATGTGGAAAGTGTTCAGGCATCTGACTCTCATTACATGGACTTTATTGATCCACGTTTAATACATGCTGCCTTCAGCTTAACCCCCTTTTACATGAGTCAGAGTCAGACTCTTAGCAAAGCCAGAGTGCCAAAGCATTGTTCGCAGTCTCCCTTCTGTAGTTCTTTCTCACTCACATTAACATGACCTTGTGTTGTTCATAACATTTGTAAAGTCTTTCAGAGTGTTTTTAGTTCTTCCTGCTTCCCATCCTTAGGTTCATTTCTCATTGTCAATATCTGCTTAAGAAATGCTTAGAAAAACATTGTTGAAAAATGCTAACAACTCAGTTAGTTGTAATTGCTAACCTATGGTTGCGAATGGGCTTGTTTTTAAATTGTGCTGCATTGTAAGTGGGGCTGTGGCTGCGGGTCTTTCAGCCGGAAGAACCACCACAGACAGCGAGCTGGAGGAGATGCTGGAGAGCGGGAAGCCGTCCATCTTCACTTCCGACGTGAGTGCGGCCATGGCCCTGTGGCACCGTGTCCCCCTCTGTAGACACAGCTTTTTAGACACCCTTTAGCTTCCATCATAAGTGTATTAATCTTCTCTTTTGTTTTTGTTTTTCTAAGATTATATCAGATTCACAAATTACTAGACAAGCTCTCAATGAAATTGAGTCACGTCATAAGGACATCATGAAGCTGGAGACCAGTATCCGAGAGTTGCATGAGATGTTCATGGACATGGCCATGTTTGTGGAGACTCAGGTAGTTACAGACTCTCATTCTCTAAGAGAGGCGTCAGTCATTGTAAACTCTTCCTGCCTCCCGTGCTATCTAGTGGGTGTATCTAGGAAAGCTGTAATTTTGGGTCCGCCAAATTCAAGTTAATTGTGGTGTTATATGTGATGCTGAAATGCTGGAAGCAGCTTAAACTGTTAACAGGAAGGGACTGGTCCAGTTCATTAAATTATAGGGTGTTCATAGGTCAGCCTTTTAGGCAGCCATAGGCAACCTAAACTTTGTTCATGGAGAATTCTTATTAAAATATACAGATATTTGTGCTAGAATTAAGAAAAAAGGGAGATATAAAGATCTTCTATGTATATCAGTACATACGTGTAAATACTTACACACATGTGGCATGAGCTCGGCTCCATAAAATAGTATTCACAGAAGGAAAGGTGGATATCAACCTGTATAGATGCAGTGAGACTGTGGGAATTTTCATCTTCTCTAAAAGTATTCATTTTCAGATTTCTACAAGGAGCATATATTACAGTAATAATTAGGAGAAATGTCTGAAAGAAGAAATCCCAGGTGGGCATACAATCTGTGGCACAGATAAGAGCTTGTGCCTGTCACATGGGGTTTCCCGTCTGCCCAGTAACACAGGGAGTGAGAGCAGGTGTGGAAAGCCCCTTCTGAGTGAACTGAAGAGTTAATGCAATTCTTAAAAAATATCAGACTCCTTTGGGAGGCTGAGGTGGGAGGATTGCTTATGCCCGTGAGTTCAAGGCTGTGGTGAGCTATGATCACACCACTGCACTCCAGCCTGGGTGACAGAGTGAGACCCTGTCTCAAAAAAAAAAAGTTATATCTGTATGTATATATTAACTGAGTGTAAAGTGTGGGATGGTGTGTATCTGTGAGGCACATGGGTATGTTCACACTTTCTCTTTGACTTTGAATACCATCCTCGCCTTGTTTTTCAAATACCACGGAGATGGGGCTGTGTCGCTGGCTAGGATTCAGCTGACCACCAGGTGAAGCAGAACCATTTATATCGGACTATCCTCAGTAAATCATTTCCTCACTCCTCCTGAAGCTGCTTTCAGGATCCGTTTTGGCTGGAGTCATCTCCTAAGGAGGTTCACAGCTGATAGGAATCCATCCACGCACACAAGTGCTCCTGCCTGCTTCACCAACCTTGTTGTGAAACACTGTTCATTTTGAGGAACTTCAGTCATGAGAATGTGTGTGAAAAACTCAGGCACCATGCCTATTTTTTTTTTTTTTTTTTTTTTGAGACAGGGTCTTGCTCTGTTACCCGGGTTGGGGTGCAGTGGTACAATCTCAGCTCACTGCAACCTCTGCCTCCTAGGCCCAAGCAGTTCTCCTATCTCAACCTCCCAAGTAGCTGGGACCACAGGTGTGCATCACCATGCCCGGATAATGTTTGTATTTCCAAGCATTTGCTGGAGGAAACCAACAGCTACACAGGGATGGGACAATCTTACTGCTTTTTGATTTTGGGGGCCCCGCTCTCATTTATGATCTGGGAAGTGGAGTGTGGGGAGTCTGATTACCATTGGCTACTTATTTTCAGGAAGCATTCCAAAGAAAACCAGCTGGACAGGAAGAATGGGAGATGATTTTTGTAATTACTAAAGCTTTTGTAGTACCTTTGACTTCAGTTGTAATTGTTCCATACCAAACACATTGCATTAAGCTCCATTAGAAAAATGGCTGTCTCCCTGGCTTTGTTTCACTGCTTCCTTTAGAAGTCTGTTGGTATTGCATTATATTGACTCATCTAATGCAAATGTATGCATAGTCAAAGCTTACTTAGTAGTTTAAGTTTGTGACTGAGTGAGTTAACTGTCCGTCATTCTTCAATGCTTTACAATTCACTGCTGCAGACTATGTCTGTCTCTGGACAGAAAACCAGGTAATGTGTTTCCTCCCTCACACTGCGCTGAATTCACCTCCGTTTACATTTTGCTTATTCATTTAGTCATCTGAGCATCAGATATAAGCTATGCTCAGTTTGCTGATTTAAAGTAGTAGTGACAATTTTCTACTTTGTAGAAAAGATGTCATTCTTTGTACATTGTCTATATTTGTGCATAATGGTAAAATACTAGTTCAGCTGAAAGCTGGCTGCCTTCCTTCACCCTGCCCATCTGTCAAAAGTGTCTGTGTGTTAAAGGTATCTCAGAATTGTCTTGAGATGCTTTTAATTATCAACATGGTTGCCCATTCCTCTTCATTCCTTTTAAAATATAAATTCAATTTTGATTGCTTTGTACTGGCACATGTGTAATGGCCTCATCTTTTACCTTTCTGTAAATGTCAAAAACCCCTCAGTATCCATTACATGCACGTCATGTTATTATAAAAAGTTTGTTCTGTGGCTATCTTAAAGATACATAATTAAGCCATTTGAAAATGTCTTCTAAGTTTGAAACTTTTTGTTTTAAGGGTGAAATGATCAACAACATAGAAAGAAATGTTATGAATGCTACAGACTATGTAGAACATGCTAAAGAAGAAACAAAAAAAGCTATCAAATATCAGAGCAAGGCGAGAAGGGTGAGTTCGGCTTCGGAGAATTAAGCTGTGTGTTTCTCTGCATTGGGTTTCAAGTTGTCATACATGGATGTAAGCCTACCGAAAAGGTATTCCAAGAAATAATTAATTAAATAAATGTTGTTTTAAAATGGAAATAATTCATTTTGCTAAAAATTTAAAAAGTTTATTAGATAAATTATTTATAGTGTAAACCCTTTTGTGTTCTAAGTAATTAAAACCCTAAGGCTGGGTGTGGTGGCTCACACTTGTAATCCCAGCACTTTTTTTTTTTTTTTTTTTTGAGTTGGAGTTTTGCTCTTGTTGCCCAGACTAGAGTGCAATGGCATGATCTTGGCTTACTGCAGTCTCCGCCTCCCGGGTTCAAGCGATTCTCCTGCCTCAGCCTCCCGAGTAGCAGGGTTGTGCCACCAGGCCTGGCTAATTTTGTATTTTTGGTAGAGACTGGGTTTCACCATGTTAGTCAGGCTGGTCTCGAACTCCTGACCTCATGTGATCTGCCCGTCTCAGCCTTCCAAAGTACTGGGATTACAGGCATTTTGGGGGTGAGCCACTGTACCTGCCACCAAATTGTTGGCTACACATTTGATGCAACGAACATTTTATTTTTTATTTAGGTTATTTGTTAATTCTTGGTTTGGAGGAAAGAAAAAAATTATTTGGGACTGTGGACCTGCAATCTTATGTAGCACCCACCTGAAGGGATCCTTAAAAGAAGGGAGGCCCTTTCAATTAAGGTGCATAGACTTTGCGTTAAAAAGGGTTCAGGGAGCCCTCTGTGACTGCTCTGCTGCAGGGGCCACAGCTTGACGCTTACTCTCCTAACTTAGGCATTTTCTCATAGTGTCTCTGACACTGGAGAGATTGTGAGGTTTCCACGTTGTCATCTCCTTTTGCTAACACGCAGAGATGCTGAGCGTGATATGCGATTTCTAAATGAGTTTTAATTTCTTTGAGTCTGAAGAGTGTCACGTATGAATGAAAGCTCTTCTGAGAAAACTTAAGAAACCACAAAGTTCATTTCTGCTGAGTGACAGAGGTCCCTCCCACGTGTCTCCCTGTGTGTCCCTGCCTGGCGGGCCCTGGTCGCTTCTCTCCAGTGTGGAGAAGCATGAACACCAAGTACCGAGCCCAGCTAGGGTGTCCCCCTCACACTTCCCGAAGGCTGCTGTGGGGCACAGTGCCTTTCGCATAGGCTGACGGCTCAGCGTCATGTCAGCAGAAGTTCTGTAAAGAGATATTTTCACCCTGTTAGAAAAAGTGGAGAGAGACTTTGTGTGTGGATGCACCCTCAGGTGATGGCCCTAGGATGCCCCTGGGCTGCGGGCTCAGCCAGGAGGGCACACCTCTGCTTTTCCTGGGTGTGTCTGAGCATGCTCCTTTCTCTGAAATGCCAGACGTAGTTTCTCATGTCATTTTGTTTAGCTTTAAAAAAATTGGCCCTTAACATAAATTGAGGTGAAGAGATACCTATATAAAAGTGCTTCACCTCATTCCAGGCATGAAGTCAGTTTTCATTCAAAAAGGCAGGTCCGTTCCTTTTCTCCATGACACAAACATGTCAATCTGGTGCAAATGATAGTGAAAGTTTATGGGTTTTATAGAGGAGAAAGGTGGTGGGTGTGATCCATTTTCATTCTCCTGCTGCGGACGAGCAAGCCTGGCTCTCTGAGGTGCCTGGGGTCTGTGCGGGACCTGGAGTTTTTGTAAATTGGTCAGCAACGTGGTGCCTGTTTCAGAAATGGCGCTGTCTTTTGGATTAGATGCCTGATAGTGGGGACCTCCCAGCTTGTCTCCGGCGCCCTCGCCGCTCAGATGCTTTGCTGCTGCCTCCGGCCCAGGTATGGGTCGTCCCCACTCCTGGCGTCCTGCATTCATTCCCAGGAAGCGGTGTGGCCCTTGGCGGCCAGGCAACATTTGCAGAAGGGTATTTTTTCTCTGTGGTATGTCAGCAGCAGTGAAAGAGGCAAGCAGAAGGCCAAGTGCCGAGAATGTAGGACTTCCTGAAGAGGCGGTGGCACTGTCCGTCACTGAGCTGGCAGGCCTGGACCTCTGTGCGTGCGCGAACTAACCGCATGTCTCAGCCATTATCAGCGTGGCCCGATAACATGGTCGTGCTGTCCCCATGGATGAAACCTGAAGTAACAGTTACATAGCAGCTTATCTCCAAGAAGTCTGACTTGATTTATTTATTTATTTTTGAGACAGAGTCTCACACCGTTGCTCAGGCTGGAGTGCAGTGGCGCGATCTTGGCTCACTGCAGTCTCTACCTCCTGGGTTCAAGGGTTCAAGCAGTTCTCCTGCCTCAGGCTCCTGAGTAGCTGGGACTACAGGCATGTGCCACCACACCCAGCTGATTTTTTGTATCTTTAGTAGAGACGGGTTTCACCATGATGGCCAGGATGGTCTTGATCTCCTGACCTTGTGATCCACCCTCCTTGGCCTCCCAAAGTGCTGGGATTACAGTCGTGAGCCACCACAGCTGGCTGAAGTCTGACCTTATTAAGTCACTCTCAAGAACTCAAAATCACCCAACAGGGTTAAGCAGTGTCCTGTAACTTAGCTTCTAAAATGAGTTCTGATGGGTTGTTTTGCTTTATTTTATTTTGCTGTTAGTTTTTTGAGACAGAGTCTTGCTCTGTCACCCAGGCTGGAGTATAGTGGTTCGATCCTTGCTCTCTGCAACTTCTGCCTCCTGGGTACAAGTGATTCTCCTGCCTCGGCCTCCCAGGTAGCTGGGATTACAGGCATGTGCCACTATTCCCAGCTGATTTTTGTATTTTTGGTAGAGACAGGGTTTCATGCTGGCCAGGCTGGTCTGGAACTCCTGACCTCAGGTGATCCACCCACCTTGGACTCCGGAAGTGCTGGGATTACAGGCTTGAGCCACCATGCCCGGCCAGGTCTTTTTTATTTTTAAATGAAGGATGTCTTTTAATTGGCAATATGCAGTTAACCATGCATGATATAATCAGCTTGCTTTTCTTTGACAGAAAAAGTGGATAATTATTGCTGTGTCAGTGGCTCTGGTTGCCATAATCGCTCTAATTATTGGCTTGTCAGTTGGCAAATGATGGTGTGGATAACTTCAGCCTGTGTGCCTCTCTGCCAGGGTGGGAGTAAGTAACTCATCAACTAATTTACTTATTAACTTTTGCAATTAGCCAATAATAGTGTTTGCCTAATTGTAATAGACTTAAAACTAATAAAGTCTTGCCAGCCACGCAGTACAGATAATGCCATCTAGGGATACGTCTGCCCATGAGCTGAGTCCAGTCCCCAGCACTGTGTTTACTGAGAGTAAGCATAGGCTGAGTGGTAACTCATGTTTAAACCAGGCTACCTTCTTACCCAGTTTTTAAAAGAATTTTTGAGACTGGGTCTTGCTCTCCAGTCACCCAGGCTGGAATGCCGTGATCATAGCTCACTGCAGCCTTGACTTCCTGGGCTCAAGTCATCCTCCTGGCTCAGGCTCCCGAGTAGCTGGGATTACAAACCTGCACCACGACACCTGGCCGTTTTGAAAACAATTTTCAGTAGAGATGAGATCTCTCTGTATTGCCCAGGCTGGTCTCAAATTCCCGGTCTCAAGTGATCCTCCCCTCAGCCTCCCAAAGCACTGGGATTATAGATAGGCATGAGCCATTGGACTCAGCCTGAATCTTTTGTTTTTGATCTAAGGAGGCCATTAGCTCTTTATGTGTAGTGGGTCCTTCATTAAATGTCATAGAAATATCAGTGAAGGGCCAGGCATGGTGTCTCATGCCTGTAACTCCCAGCACTTTGGGAGGCCGAGGCAGGCAGATCGTGAGGTCAGGAGATTGAGACCATCCTGGCCAACATGGTGAAACCCTGTCTCTACTAAAGTATAAAAAAATTAGCTGGGCGTGGTGGCGGGCACCTGTAGTCCCAGCTACTTGGGAGGCTGAGGCAGGAGAATCGCTTGAACCCGGGAGGTGGAGGTTGCAGTGAGCTGAAATGGTGACAGAGCGAGACTCCATCTCAAAAAAAAAGAAATATTAGTGAAGATTAATTCTCAGTTAAAAAGCTTTTAATATTCTGTCTCCTAAGTTTTAGCTTTTAGAGTAATTGCAGTTTTACTGTGGAATTCAGGGCATGGATTAAAGCTGAGAAAAACATTGAAATGAAAATCCTTTGACTTTTTTATTGGCAGCATCTATTTTGTTTAAAAATATTTTCTTTAATATTAAAAGGAAAATTATGGCCAGGTACGGTGGCTCACGCCTGTAATCCCAGCACTTTGGGAGGCTGAGGTGGGCGGATCACGAGGTCAAGAGATTGAGACCATCCTGGCCAACATGGTGAAACCCCGTCTCTACTGAAAATACAAAAAAAAATTAGCCAGGCATGGTGGCACGCACCTGTGGTCCCAGCTACTCGGGAGGCTGAGGCGGAAGGAGGTGGAGGTTGCAGTGAGCCGAGATTGTGCCACTGCACTCCAGCCTGGTGACAGAGCAAGATTCTGTCTAAAAATAAATAAATAAATAAGAGGAAAATTATGTGTTACATCTAGTTAGCATGCCTGTGAATTCTTAAAGAATTCTGAATGTAAAAGATACCAGTTTATTTAATAAATTGTTGTTTTTGCTCACTGTGTATCATCTTTCCTACATGTCAGCTGATTCTGTGGCTTCCCTCTGGTTTCCTCACACACTGGGAGCCATCCTTGCACTAACCCTGAAGCTGGATTGCCATTTGGTGTGTTGAACTTGGACAGAGCAGTTATTTCTCCGTAAATGTTTGTTTGTCATAATCCTTGTGATTAGAAAATTGTGAAATGTCCCTAGATGTCTAGAGTATGGCAAGCTCATCCCTGATGAATTTAGTTTTGGGTTATGGAAGTAACTGCAGACTTCATGGTCACTCAGGGCTTTTAAAAATATTAAGATATAGCAGAAAGGAATCACGAGCATGGTCAAGTTTTACTGCTACTTTTTAATCTTTAAGATTTATTCCTTCAACATGGCAACACCTTGTCTCTACAGAAAAAAAATCCAAAAACTAATTGGTCATGGTGGCACACACCTATAGTCCCAGCTACTCTGGAGGCCAAGGCAGGAGGATCACCTGAGCCTGGGGAGGTTGAGGCTAGAGTGAGCTAGATTGCACCACTGCACTCTAGCCTGGGTGACAGAGCGAGACTCTGTTTCAAAAAAAAAAAAAAAAGATTTCTGTCTTCATGTGAGCATCTGTTATGCTCACCCTACACAGTTATCCGATGAGAAGTTTTCGAGTTAGTGTTCTGACATGTATGCCAGCCACAGCACCACACCTGAAATTATTCCGTGACCAGCTCTGGGAAGCCGCGCATCTTACCATTCCATTGTTAGCGGTCAGACCCTTCCACACTCTTTTTATTAGGCAGGATGTTTACGTTTCTTTTCTACGTTTTTCCTCTTAGCTCTGCTGAAGATATTGTACATGTGATTTTTCTTCATTGTTATAATGCTATTTTTCAAGATTTTCATGATTCTAACACATACTTTCCGAGTTTTTCCTAGTAGCTATCATATGGTTAGTTCAATGTGGTTACAAGAAAGACAGTTTTTAGCTTGGACACAGTGAAATGCGCGACTTTTCATGAGCGCTGATTGGCATTGAGGTTGACGAACAGAAGGCTCCTCTCAGTGTGACCCCTGGGGAGTGGGGCCTGGCTGGCCATTTCACCCTAGTGTCTGTAAGTAAGAATGAACACACAAGGATCCTCATTCATAAAAACAGACCAAAATGAATACCAGTGGTTCTGCTTGCATAGGAAGGCAGTGGTTAATGTCCGGAGTTTCACTTTTAAAACATGAACATCGTCTTTCATCCTTTGGCAGTTGGCCTTCCTGGGGCTGGATGCTGCCTCTCCCTGCAGGGTGTGCCTGGTGCAGCCAGTCAGCTGCAGCACGGGTGGGATTTCCTGCTTCAAAGAGACAGGCGGAGTCTTACAGAGTGTGGGTGAGAGGGCTGTGGCCCAGACTTGGAGCTGGACCTCCCAGAGTGTGCTCTCTCTGCTCCCGCTGTCACCAGAAGATTAGATGACACCTGAGTCCTGCACCCTAGACTCCATGTAGCTGACAGCCATTCTGAAAGCCAGATGTGGCAGGAAAGGGCACACACACGGGCACCCAGGCACGTGGCAGGCAGCACAACAGCAGCAGAGGAGAGTGCCCGGTCTGCAGCTGGCTCCAGGCACTCACATGCTGAGTGGGAGCGATGCGGGCCTCCCTGCGAAGACTAGGTTTCTCTAGGACGGTGCTGAGAGACGGGCGTAGGAGCACAGGTGGAGGATGAGACAGTAGCTGGGGCTTTGCAGGAAATGTGCGTGATGTTAACACAGAACTGGAATTTGAGGCAGGGGCCCTCCTGAAGGCAGCTCTCCCGGTCCTGAGGAGTCACTGGGAGGCTCATGGGGCCGCCATGCGCCTCTTGATAAAAAAACCCTGCGTAACTGACAGAGCCCTCAGTCTTCAGAGCTGGCCAGGCTCAGCAAACAGGATCTCTTAGGTAAAAGCACTCATACATTTGGAACTGTAGTTAAAATGATGGATCTCTGCTTGTCAAAAAGAAAACTCAGTCCTACAGCACAGTGCCCCCCTGAGGTGTCTTCTCCCCTTCCCTCAGACTAGCTTCATGGGGGACACCCCATTTGTTAAGCCAAAGTGGCCTAGCTTTCCCTTGTGTGAGGATGCTTGTTAATTTGAAAAAGTTAAATGCTGTGCCGTTCCCTGCTTTGAGACTATCAGTGCAGTAGAAGTATGAATTAATGTCTTGTTGATTTCTTATACATGTTCATCACATTTAAATGTAAAAAATGGATAAGGCCAGGTGCAGTGGCTCATGCCTGTAATCTCAGCACTTTGGGAGGCCAAGGCAGGAGGATCACTTGAGTGCAGGAGTTTGAGACCAGCCTGGGCAACATATGAAGATCTTATCTCTTAAAAATATATGTATTTTAATTAGCCAGGTGTGGTGGTGCGTGCCTGTCACCCTAACTCTTTGGGACCCCGAGGTGGGAGGATCGCTTGTGCCCAGAAGGACGTGTTTGCAGCAAGCCCCGTGCTGTGCCACTGCTCTCCAGCCTGGGCGACAGGACGATACCCTCCTTTCAGAAAAAAGAGAAAAATAGGACTTTTCAGCCAACGAGAAATTCATTTAAAGTTTTAAAAAGATATGTAATTCATCCTAACAGAAGTCCTGGAGTTTTATTAGGATGAAACGAAAGTATCTATTAGGAGCCCACATGGTACCTTTTCACCCAGGAGCAAATAGTTGTTGTTTTAATAACGTGTATTTTCATTCATAAGGTATTTTTTATTATTTTTACTTTTCAAATAAACAAGACAGGGTTTCAGTTTGTTGCCAAGGTTGGCCTCAAACTTCTGGGCTCAAGCCGTCGTCCTGCCTCGGCTTCCGGAGTAGCTGGGCTGCAGGTGTGCGCCACTGCATTAGGCTCCTGAGTTGCGTTAATTTAAGGCACGTGTTGAACTTCATGCTTTGCCTTTGGAATTTTCCTTCTCTCCTCCTTTTCTGTGACATGGAGGGGTTCTTTCTTGATTATGGATGTGTTTTTTAAACTATCCCAAATCCCAGAAGGATTTAGTTAGCAAATGACATTGTTGGTTTCTTTGATACATTGCAAATTAATGTTTTTCTTTATCTTGCAGAAAATGATGTTCATTATTATTTGTGTAATTGTTTTGCTTGTGATCCTTGGAATTATCCTAGCAACAACATTGTCATAGCAACTATATCCCAAGAGCCATTTATCCTTGGAGACTGAGACTACACCTGCAACCAGATCAGCACCCTGTCATTTTCATTTCGTGAATGAATCTCAGACACTGTAACCCGGCATTGGTGCTGACCTTTTAATGTATGAATTCACAGAAGCAGCGCAACAGAACGTCTTGTTGAGTGAAAGGCCGTAAGCACCATGCGTGTGATACGTGACCCTGAATGACACACTACAGAACGTGGGGCAGCGTGAGACTTTTCTCAGTGGCCTCGAAATAAGGAAATGCCGAAAATGTCAATATTAAAAATAAAAATATTTCAGTGTTACAAATGTGCATGAAGTTTAATTAGGAATCCTTTATGTTATGAAGCTTTTTTTTTTTTGGAGACAGAGTCTCACTCATTTGCCCAGGCTAGAGTGGAGGGCAGTAGTGCAATCTTGGCTCACTGTAATCTGCCTCCTGGGTTCAAGCGATTCTCCTGACTCAGCCTCCCCAGTAGCTGGGATTATAGGTACATTCCACTATGCCCAGCTAATTTTTTGTACTTTTGTTTTTAGTAGAGATAGGGTTTCACTATGCTGGCCAGGCTGGTCTTGAACTCCTGACCTCGTGATCCGCCTGCCTCGGCTTCCCAAAGTGCTGGGATTACAGGTGTGAGCTACCACACCCAACCGTTATGAAGCTTTTAGATCTCAGGTCTAAGGCTCCTTTCCCCGCCTTCTTCCAGCTAATATGTGCTAATTAGGAGACCTTTTGTACAATGCTGTGTTTATTGTCTGTTTGAAGAAATAATTTTTATCACATGTTTTTGTAAGATATCTATAATTTTATGTGTTTATAAATTAATTGTTTAATATATTAGCATCTTAATTTATCCCATTTGTATATCCTGAATGTGGCCTTGTGAGTGAAATAGGAAGTTTCATGGCGTTTGAGCCACCTTTGTGCAGTTGTTTACAGAGTGTCCCACTGTCACAGAAAATGATGGTTGCAAAGCCCTTCCAAGCCTCCGAAAGTGCCTTCTGTCGATGCTGGTTTATAAAGAGTTTAAATGCGCCAGTGGCTCCAGAAGAGCCTCAGCCTCAGCTCCACTTCTGGGATAATGACTGCACCGTAAAGACTGCGGTCTCTTTTTCACTAAGTATGAGATTCGTGTTTCCCAGTTGACATGAACAAAGTCTGAATTTCATGGTGATGAAACCGAGGTTCAGTGCTCTCTTGACTCAAGGAAATTATTCCTAATACATTGAGTAATTCTTATAAATTTAAACTTGTACAGATCACATAAATGTTATTAAGTACCTAATGTTTTGCTGAACTTTAAAAGTTAATTTCCAAAATGTGTAGGAATTCATAATTAAACCTTATTATTGCTCATTCTTTTTTAGAATAATACGACTTATTTGTAGACATGTAAAATGTGTGAACTGGTGAATGGACATCTGTGAAGAGAGCACTCAAAATTTTAAAGGAGTATGTGAAGGATGCCCCAAATGTCGTTAACTCTTGTTACTGCTGTGTGTGATGGTGTAAGCATGTGACTTTTAACATGTTTGGTTTGAAACTAGTGTAGATATGCCTGACTCCAAACAGTAGGTGTGAATATCGAACAGCTTCGCAGCCAGGTCCCGGACCTAACACAGTTCCTAATCTCCCCTGTCCTGACATGTCCACTGGATCACCGCTGATGGTCACAGTGTGCCAGAGTTACTAGGGGAAGTCTGCCTCTAACTGTGCCTTTCTTTTGGTCTTGAAGTATCCTGTTGTGGGGTGTGCTCACTGATTTGTGGTTACGTTGAAGGTGTAACTTGTCTGGAAGGGTTGTAAACATTACAGGATCACGCTGGTGTCCAGAGGACTTCACGCCTCAGTCTAATCACGTGCGTGTCGTTCTTCAAGTTCTGTCATATGAGTCCTCCCCTTTTACGACACTTTGTATGGTATTTTTCAAGTTAATCTTAGATTTGCAATATATTACTGAATTTGTGTTTGTATAGTTGAAGTTATAAACATGCTATTTGATTTGTATTTAGATACTTAAGTCATTTGTCCAACGACATGTGTATATCTAAGCCTCATGCACTGATTTGAAGTCAGTCTTAAAAATATATTTACAGATTCACTTGTGACTTTTTAATCAGTTCTTCAAATATTTCATGTTTACATTAAACGTTTCCAGAGAAGCAAAAAAGTAGTATTCACTTCCTGCTTTGTCATTTCTGGAAAGATTTTGGGGAGACATTTTATTGCATATTCATTAATAAATTGTTCTAAGAAAATTACTGTTGTGGCTATTATGATGTGTGGTGATGTAATTTTGGAAACATTTGGTATTTATTTTGATTTTATTTTTTGAGACACAGTTTCGCTCTTGTCCCCAAGGCTGGAGTGCGATGGCATGATGTCGGCTCACTGAAACCTCTGCCTCCCAGGTTCAAGCCAGTCTCCTGCCTCAGCCTCCTGAGGAGCTGGGATCACAGGCACCTGCCACCACACCCAGCTAATTTTTGCATTTTTAGTAGAAACGGGGTTTCACCATGTTGGCCAGGCTGGTCTCGAACTCCTGACCTCAGGTGATCTGCCCACCTCGGCCTCCCAAAGTGCTGGGATTACAGGTGTGAGCCACCATGCCCCATGCATTTGTTAATATTTTATTAGTGTTACATTACAAGCTTCTGTTGTTCATGGCTCAGATGTCAGATTCATATATTAAGGGACCCAGCAGAATTCTTGCTGTTTATAACAGATACCAATTCAGTGAATTTGGGCTGTGTCTCAAAGTCACTGTGTTTGAATTCTTTTGTCAATTCGACACATTCTCATTAACATTTGTTAATGGGGTGATCTCACCCCACCCCAGCTTCTGAGTTATTTATCCTCTATACTTAATCCTCGTTCAGTTTTTCTTAAGTAGAATTTATTTACTTCCTCAGCCCTTACTGAATTCTGATCATACTGAAAAGTGACATTCAAAAACCACAATTTTAAAAAGAGAAGATAGAACTGGAGAAAACTGATTCATGGAGCCAGAGTCCTAGATGTTCATTTTAATCTCCTATTTCTATATTCCTCCCATAATGAATTACCTTTCAAATTAGTCTTGACATGCACATTCAATAATTTAGTTATTTTATTTGTACTTTTTATTGCCTAAATGACTTTTTCTGAATTTCTTCAGTAAATCTACACTCATATCCTTTCATGAGTTTAAAAAGTGGATTAAACCGAGGTGGAATTCAAACTGGAAAGGCTGCATATCCACCAGAGAGTAGCAGAAAAACGTGGAAAAACTGCTGGGTTCATGGAGCATCCCACTCAGCCCCGGGAAGGGGTAGGGCTGGGTGCCCCACAGGTGGCCAGCGCGCAGACGCCTTCTCCCGCCTCCCCACGCTCCCTGACTCCTGTGCTCTGCTAAACATCAAAGCCAATGTCCCAGGCGTGGGTCCGTGGCCGCTGGCACCTGTGGAGTTGCCGCGGTTGGCTCCTTATTTTAGCTGCTGGTGTAGTTGACACACCACCACTCACTGTTAGCAAAGGCGAGCCCTAAAGGGAAGAACAGACCATACAGGACGCACACAGCTCTTCAAATGAATAGAAAAAGCAGCCCCTCGCCGCCAGAGCTGAGCAGAAGCCTAATGTGGATTTTTCCCAGTCGGTTTCAAATGTAATCGAATGGACCTGGTACCACGCAAACTTTCCTTAAGTTCTGGTTTTAAGAGTCTGTTAAAATTCGTTTCAGCGTGTGCGGCGTGGGAGGGTGGAGCGTCACACCGGGTCTAAAGGCAAGAACATGTAGGCAAGCAGAGGCAGCAGCCCTCTGGAGACGGGTCTGCTGTTCCCGGAGTCAGAGGAGCTATGGAGATGCACGCCAAGCCCCGAGAGACTGGCCGGAGGCAGGCGGCCGATGAGATGCGCACCGCCCTGCTTTGCTTTTCCGTTTGAGCAGTGGATACATTCAAGGTAGCACGTGGCCCTCCTCTTCTGACTCGCTTCATTTGAACAAGGAAGTGCAGATTTCTGTCTGAGAAAACTGGGCCTTGGCTTCTTGGCAGGGGGACGTTCCAGAGAGCACAGGGGAGGTCCTGCCTCCTGGGGTGGGGTGACCGGGGCCTCCTGGGGCCTCAGTTCCCTGCCTGTGAAAAAGAGGAATGGAGTTGGAGAATCCAGGGTGCCTCTCCAGGCCGCAAGACTCTGCCTTTTTTATGTAAATTCCATCCTTCTCGGATTCTCTGTGGAGGCTCTCCAGGGCCCAGGCTTGTACCCGCACAGAACACCCAGCAAGGTGTTAGCGCTCCTTTGCATTTCTTTGCAAACTGTACTTTCTGATGCGTCGTTGAGTCTGCTGAAGCAGGTTGCCCTCGGAGTAGAGTACAAGACTGGTCCTCAGGCGAGGAGCGTGACAGTTTCTGTCTGAAATGGTTGAATTTCCTGAGTATGCACCAGGCTCGGTGTACGGAGCAAGGCCGGAAGGCTGGGGCTGGCCGCCGGGAGCAGCTCAGCTGCAGATAGTTAAGGCAGGCCGGGTCGCAGAAGCCGGGCCGTGGCGCAGGCGGAGGGGGCGGCCAGGGCGGGTCTGGCCCGCGAGTGGGAGCCGGGCTCTGCGCTGGAGGGCAAGGTAGGGCCTAAGCGGCACGTCCGAGGAGCGGGCGGACAGCAAGGATTGCGCGGCAGCGACGGGCGCGCGTGGGTGGCGGGAGAGTGGGGCTCTGCGAAGGCCCGGGAGTGAGGCCGCGGAGCACGGGGTGGTGCGGGCAGCGGGCTCTCCAGCTGCTTTCCTCTGTGTCGCGTGGGGAGCTGGGTCTCTTAGGTCTCAACGCCCCCCTCCCGCAAAGTTCATGTCTACCAGCTGGTGTGGCCATGGGGCCAAGACGTGGTCCATGCAGCTCCCAACGTCCCCTGTGTCCTTCTGCGCTCCCACGAGGAATCAGGACCCAGACGCTCAAACACCTAAGTGTAGAGCACCACCCGGGCGTGGGGGGCGTGCGGGGCGTGGCGGGGGCGCGAGGACGGGGGGGGGGCGTGGGGGGGCGTGGCGGGCGCGGAGGCCGTGGCGGGGACTCGAGGACGGGGGGGCGTGGGGGTGCGTGGCGGGCGTGGGGGGCGCGGGGACGCGGGGGGCATGGGGGATGTGGGGGTCGTGGGAGTGGGGAGCGCGGGGGTGGGGGGCGCGGGGGCGTGCCCAGTGCGGGGAGGGGGCTCGTTCGCTGGCAGGACTGCAGCAGGCCTGGAGGGAAGTGTCTGCCGTCCGTCGTCGTGTCTGAAGGTGCTTTGCTGCCGCATGATCCGCCGTGCATTCATCCATCATAACTGTGTATGATATGATTTTAGTAATTAATAGAGTTGTGTAACCATCACAGCCCTCTGTTTTGAGAACATTTCCATCACCCCAAAACTACCGTGACATCCATTTGCTGTTAATCCCAGCTCCCTTCCTGGCGCTAGGCCGCCTCCCCCGCGATGCTTTCTCTCCATCAGTTTGTCTTTCTGGACGTTTCGTGAAAGTAGAGTCAGGTATGATAGTCTTCCGCCCCCGGCCTCTCTCACTCAGCGGTGTCGCCGAGGCTGTCCCTTTGAAGCATGTGCGGGAACTCGGTCCCCCCGTGCTGCTGAGCAGCCTTCATTGTAGGGGGACGCTTTGTCCCTTCACCAGCTCACAGACAGTGAACTGTTGCCAGTTTTACTGTGATGAATCATGCTACTATGAACATCTGTGTACATATATTTATGTGGACCTGTTTTCATTTTCCTTGGTAGTTTTCTGGGAATAGAAATTCTGGGTCATATGTAAATTTATATAATATTTTAAGGAATAACTGAACTTTCCAAGTGTTACATCATTTTATTTCAAGTAAAGGGGAATGTATAAGGATTCTGGTTTCTCCAGATCCTGACGAACTCTTGGTATTTATTGTCTTATGTTTTTAAACCTATCTGTGCTAGTGGGTGTGGAGTGGCGATTCATTTTGGTTTTCATTTGCATTTTCCTACTGATGAACAATGTACACATCTTTTCATGTGTTTATTAGCCATTCATAGATCTTTTAAAGTAAGATATTAACTCACATCTTTTGCACATTTTAAATTTGGCTCTTATTTTTGAATTTAATTTAAATTTAAATTTTTTTTTTGAGAGAGGATGCTCTGTCGCCCAGGCTGGAGTGTAGTGGCACAATATGGCTCACTGCAACCTCAACCTTCTGGGCTGAAGCAATCCTCCCACCTCAGCCTTCTGAGTAACTGGGACTACAGGTGTGTGCCACTATGCCTGGCTATTTTAAAAATTTTTGTAGAGGTAGAATCTTACCATGTTGCCCTGGCTGGTCTTGAACTCCTGGGCTCAAGTGATCCTCCTACCCTAGCCTCCTAAAGTGTTGGGATTATAGGCATGAGCCACTGTACCTGGCTTATTTTTGAATTTTAAGAGTTCTTTATATATTCTGGATAAAGTTACTGTCTTATGCAATCTTAAATCTTTTAAAGAAGTTAAGAAAACAAGGAGAAAGTATATTTGCAGAGTGTTTTGTGTTAACATACATAGTTACCATTTTTGGTGCTTTTCATTTCTATCTGCAGTCTTGAATCACTCTCTAGAGTAGTTTTCTTTCAGCTGAAGGACTTCCTTTGGTATCTCTTGTGAGGCAAGTTTGTTAGCAATGCATTCTCTCAGTCTTTCTTAAATCTGGGAATTTCTCAATTTCACCTTCAGTTTGGAAGGATAGTTTTGCTGGATATTGAATTCTTGGTTTACAGTTTTTTTTTTTTTCTTTTTCTTTTGGCCCTTGAGGATCTTATACTGCCACTCTCCAGCCTCCTCTGTTTCATGCATGAATTTGGCTGGTGACCATATTGATGCTCCCTTATATGTCACGAGTCATTTTTCTCTTGCTGCTTTCAAGGTTTTGTCTTGTCGTTTAGGCGTTTAGGTGTAGATCTCTGCATATTCTGTTTTTTATCACATTTTGGATATCCACAATGTGGATAATAGATATCCTTGCCTCCTGCTACCCCCATTGTGTGTATTTTGGGATGCCAGATGCTGGCCTACATGTCTCTGAGGTTCTGTTTGTTTTTCTTCAGTGTTTTTTCTTTTTGTTCTTCATAATGGATGATCTGTGCTGATCTAACTCCGAGTTCACCGATGGATTCCCGTACCAGCTTGTGTCTACTGTTGAGCTCTTCTCAACAT